ATTCGATTTCTTCTGAATTTAGTTTGGAAACATCAATAGAATTCTTTATCTGCTCAACTCTTTGTAACACGTTTACCTCGCTATAATTAAAAATATTTAAATTTGTTTCCGTTTCGTCAATATTTACTGGTTCAAATTCAATAGATGGATTTTCTATCATATATTCCTTTTCTGATAAGTTTATGATTGCAATTTTAAATTCATTGTTTTTTATATTTGTCAAACATTCACTGGTTATTACTTCCTCATTAAATCTGAATTTGGGGCAATAAATTGTTTGATCTTGAGAAATACACTTAATTTTAGTTATTATTTCACATCTAGGTGGCACGCAAATCAAATTAGAAGCATCGACTGTATGTAATTTAAATATGTAATCATTTAATTTAAATGTTTGGTCTTGGTATGATATTACACCATTGTATTGTGAGATAATATCCCTTCCAATAATTCCATCAAAGGGAATATTAATTTCGTCTGGAACAACTTGGAACTTAAATGAAAAATTCGTGGAATCTATCTTTGGTGTTAAACAATACGAACCCAGTGTTCTTATTTGAACATTTGCTACTCCTACAATATTAGTTTGCTCTTCTTGCGTTATATTTTGTTTGTCAACTATTTGATTATGTTCCCAATATTATCATTTAAAATACTATCACCCTCAATCTGTGTACTGCCTTTTAATACAGGGTTTATTGGTTGTTCTCCGAACTGACCTGCACAGTTGGAGAGTCCTCGTTTCCCGGATTTGTCAAGCGATTTATTCTGTTGTTTGATGTATTTTGGAGATTCCTTTGATTACTTCCCTGATTATTGTTTTGTCCGACGGTTTGATAATTTCTCTGATAATTATTGTTGTTACTTTGACTGAAGTTGTTTTGGTGTCTAAACGTATTTTGTCTATTTCCATAATTATTTTGGTTACTTGGCCCTTGTCCATAATTAATACTTTGTGTAAAACTTTGATGGTTTCTATTAAACCTACATTGATGGGTTTGGTGGTTATTTCTATTACAAATTTCGCATTTTATGTGATTTCTCTGAAACCTGCATTGGTTTGTACTATGATTATTTCTCCCACAAATATTACAATTTAATTTATTAAAATAATTAATTCTTCCACCTTGTGTAAGACCAATCTCGCAATAAATACAAAATACAAAACGCATTGCTGGTTTTGTATTTTAAAATTTAATAGCCCTCTTTTAAACCCATTTACACAAATCGTTTCTATTGTTTGATCACCTCTTTCGGCAATTCTCAGAAATTGAGTTCTTAGGGATTTTATTCTGCTTGCATACGCGTCAATATTTTCATTACTACGTTGTTTGCAGTTTGATATTTCGTTTATTAGTGTAGGAATTGATTTTGTCACTTGTTTAAAATTTTGAGTCAATTTTAATACTAATTCGTCCCATGTATCAAACTCGAAGGTTCTGACTCTTTCTAATGCGTCGCCTGTGATTTTAAAACCAATTATTATATCGATGAAATTACTTCTTCTATCTTCTGCTAACAAGTTTAAGGCAATATTCACTTGATTAATAAATGTGTCTAATTTTGAGACATCTTTCCCGTCAAATGCATCGATATATCCTAATAAATCTTTTTCACTAAATGCGTTATTGGCCATTTTTGATATTTATTTATTTACTCTTTGATTTTATTATTATTATTATTATTATTATTATTATTATTTTTATTATTATTATATTCGGGGTAGTTCGAATCGATAGAGAAACTCAAACAATGTGAACCACTTACATGAACATTTTAACAACCATCGACCGTTGAACGCTGGATTGAATGGAATTGAAGAGACTTCGTTTCCTCGCTTCAGCTGTTCTTCTTGATTTCTTCTTATGATGATGATACCCTCCGTCAAATGGCTGTTGAATTCGCATGCGTTGTTGTATGCACACGAGATCCGCCGCCGCTGTCACCAAAATGTTAGGGATGATGTTGTGAGCCTTTGCTCTTCAGACAACCCGATTCTTCTAACTTATTATTTCTTTCGGAAAGAAGAACTGAGCCAAAGATTCTACTAAGTCTTTATTTACAAAATATTGACCAAGAGGCGAATTACAAACTCTACTTCTGGCTCATAAGGCTGACCGAACTCCACCGAGGTTGAGCTAAGACTAAATAATTTTAGCACTAATAATCTTAAACTAAACTTATCGTAAAATACACTAGAAAGAAGGACCAAGGGTAGCCGCTCGGGTCATTGACCCTTATAATGTTTATGCTAATGTGCGGTAGGTCTGTACAAACCGTACCCTTCGGCCGGGAAATTTCAATAAAATAATAAATGGTAATAGAATATAAAACTAAAACTAAATACACAATATTTCTAACTCAAAAATCCAAGTAATGTGCAATAAACATAAATAAACCATAAATGATACGCTCATAACACCCTGCGCATAAATTCAAGATCAAACAGGTTCTTATCAATACCAGTCGATAATATCGATCATGTTTAAATATTCAATTCGTCTCGATGCAAACTGAAAGATTGTACAGCGTGTTTCAAATATACAAACAACAAGTAAAAGTGTGCATATTAAAATTGTTAACAATTTTGTGGCCTCAAAAACGACGGAGATGCGCGCATATAATGCGTAAAAAGCAGAAATAAGAAATGTTACTGCTTCTGAATCCATCTTGTTTGTATATTTGAGACACGCTGTAGGTATTACGCACAATATGAGGGATTACAATATGCGTGTGTATTTTTCTTTCCTGAATTTTTGCGATAACATTGTGTATTCATACCGATGAATATCGTTAATATTCTCGATTTTCCTTAAGATGAAGACTCGGCGTTGACAATACCCAGTCGTCTCTTGCATGCTAGCCCTGCAGGTGACTTAACCACGACGGTAAAATATCAACGATTTACAACTTTGCTTTCGGCATGCTGTAATCGTGTCCATCGCCTTGTAAACTCGTCGTTCGAAGCTGAAATTTTCAACTTTGTGAAGATTTTCATGCGTGATAAGTGTAGGCCCGGCGATCGGTTGGGTCATAGCCCGAAACGTTTCAGAAACGTATGAAACTCATGAAGATATTCGCCGTTATCGTCGGTGCCGATCTGTGAGGAGAAAAATGCCTTCGCCGACGGGTGCGTTTGTTTACGTCGTGCTGTTGCTATGGATGGTCGACCACTGCATAGGCACCGAGGTGAAAACCGCCCCGAAACATGTAAGCAAATGTAAGCAAATCATTTCAAAAGTTTAATAGTCATGTAAAAAAAATATTTTCCTGCAATATGCAGTCGAGCATAACTTTCCAGTGGGAACGCAAAGGGTCGTGACTAGGGTTACCAGGTTTAAAATATGATAAATGGGAAGATATTAAGTAAATGTTTTCAGTCTGGCAACCCTAGTCATGCGTATCCTGCAGTAATGGACGGTTGATATGAGCCGATATTGTTAATTGTAAATAACTTTCGAAATATTTTAACGACGCGGACAAAGCGCTGCTTTTTTCTCGACTCGCGGCGCGGTTATCAGACAACGAAAAAAGGGGGAATATTCTGGCAATGTTTGTTATCTTTCCGCGCCGCGCTCGTCGACCAACCGGTCGTATGTCCAAAACTATGCGAGAACCACATTTTTATTATATCTCGCGCTCGTACGGCTGGTCGCCGCGACTCCGGCTTCTTTTTATATTTAATTATACGAAAAATACCTCGTTGACAATTTGACAAAATTATTACATGAATGCGAGGCCCCTGCCGGCACAGACTCCGAAAAGCACGCCGCAGCCGGAGATGAAACGGCCGCGAGAGGATGGAAAAAAACGAACTGACGGGCGAAAAAAAGCGCGAGGAAACGACAAAGAGTAATGTCCATCGCGCGCGCGTTTCCAACGAGCCGGCAACACTCGGTAACAGGGCCGTTAAGTGCGCGACGGTTGCGCATTGCGGCTGAATTCGCGTCGTCCTTATCGCTCGCGTGGACGAGGACCAATGTGGGAGATTGCGTGCGCGTCCTTCGAGCCGGTTCTCCAAAGAAAAGAGCACTTTGGACGCGCGTCGTAAGTAACTGTATGGGGGTTCGGTGGAGAGTTAAAACACGCGCAGCGCGAGCCAGCAACGCGCTCGTATTTTATCGGTGCATTATTGCCATTATTATTTGCGATATGCGCATAAAATGTACATCGCGAACACGCATCCACTATCATAAGTTCGCGTTTATTATAATGTAAAAAGGAATGCTTCTAAGCTTAGCGGGCGTTCGTGACGTGCTCCGTAAAAGATGCTGATGTGTGTTATAGTTACAGTTTTTAGTTACGATATTTCGTGCCTCAGATTCCAAACACAACGACCGTTGGTTGAATGCATGTAATTTCCACACGAAAACCAAACGTGTTATCAGTCACCACATTTATACGCCGCAGTCGCAGCTCCATGCGAAAAACAAATATTAAGTAAGAGAAGTACATATAGTTTTATTCCCTCGCTCAGCGTTTATACGACTTGATACTTGTTGGGACGCGAGATTTTTTCTTGCGCAGCGCTTGGTAAACAAAAACGTTTGTCGTCAAATAGCGTGTTGTTGGAAATTACATTAATTGGAATCGACGAAACAGTAAAAACAAAAGCGGTTAATTAATCGACAAAGGATCATGTGATTCGGATGCGTGCGGAATTCGCGTCGAGCCATACCTCGGATGTGCTTCCTCATAAAATTCCGTTGCTGCCGAAATTGTGCGCGAGCAAGAAGTAGGCCATGATTGTTGTTATTACATTAGACTTGTGGCTTTTGCTTATCCCAGCTCTAACTTTACTCGACTCTCAGTTCGGAGCGTGCGGAGTTTGGAGAGATATTTGACTTTAGTTCTTAGGTTTCTTCGGGCTTGCACACACACACAATCCCGCGCGAGAGTATCTTAAGTCTGTTGTTTATCGTGTGGTTGTAGTGGTGTATCGTGAGCAAGAGAGCCCAGCTCTCCGACGGCGAGTTACCTGCTACGACTCTCCGCGCGGCCAAATGCGCGACGCTGACTTTAGTTACCTGGCTAAAGTCGCATCGCCAAGACGTGTGTGCATGCGCGCTGTGTGCTTGTTTGTTGCCTACACACACTGAGTTGTAAACTCGCGCCATCGCCCTAGCAAACAACTAGTTTTAAAATCAGCGTGCGCATACGCTGTGTGTTTGTGGAATTTGTTGCATCTGTGCATAATATAAATGAAGTGACAGTTCAGGATTTAAAGGATACGCGCGGATATTATCTTTGCAGCTTGCTTGACAGAGGGGAACAGTTGGTATGTGAATGTTTTGAATACAAGTAGAACACTGTTCAGTTCAATATTATCCACATTCTTGTTGTTGATAATAACAATCATGGGAGAAACATATTTCTAAGTGCGAAAACAAAACCGAAATCAGAAGTCATCCATATCCGTGCGAGAGTTCTTCGACTCGCGCGAATCGAGAGAGTTGTTGACGCTTTGAGGCTTGTTGTTGTCTTTGCTTTGGCGAAAAGCAAAAAGGAAGGAACGAATCCCAATGCGACTACTTTCTATTCGCGACCGGCGCTCGAACACTCGGCGGCTCAAACGATAATAATGTGTAATCAAGAAAGAGTTTATAATTGCAGCCTCGATTGTGTTCCCCGCGCACGACTTGCTTGGTGCAATTGAGAATTTCCGTTTTTACGAAACATTTGCTCCAACAACACGCCGCAAAGGCAGACGGTTTACACCAGTTGTTGTTGTTGTTGTTGTTCGCCAGTTGGTCGAAGGTTTCATTCAAAACATCTAACGTCAAATCAAATCAAGTACGTCCAGAGAATGAACGTACGTGGGATAGCTTGTGTGTGCGTTGTTGCTGCACGTAAACTTCCTACAGATTTTTCATTCTTTCTTTCGTTTTTTTGTAGCTCTGCGCTAGCGCTAGATTCATAGAATGGTAATCGTGCGGCGATCACAAGCTCACTCACACGCTTGCATCTCGGACGTGCACTCCCACGTTTGTTTCTGTTTCTCGGTGGTTTTTCTGAGTGCACAGAGAGATGTGTGAGCCGGCGTTGTTTGCTGGAAACAAAACTAGGTGCTGCGCTGCACAATGTTGTTCATGCGCGCGCGTATGTTGCTGAGTAATTATGATTACGCTATTGCTTGTACATCTGTTCGCACAATGCCACCGCACGGATTCAAAACTGCGCAAAAATGTGTGCCACTGTGACTTGACGGAGACTTCAATGCGTGTGTTACTCATCTGAGAACTAAAATTTTCGAATTTTTAACTTTTACGCCGAAAAAAACACAAGATACCTATAATTAAATACTGAACACGCTAAACAAGTGTTTTAGTCGAAAAGGGGGTCGAACACAAATTTACCTGCTTTAACCTGTGAATATACTGAGAGTTTAATGTGGTGTAGGATATATTTGATGAGGGTTTTACGTATACACTTGGTGTTAGGCACCCCTCCCGTTTTTATGATTAGTTGAAGGTCGAGAAGTCAGCATGATTTAAATGGCCGGGCTAACCATGGGTATTGTTGCGCTTTGCCCGTAGTTGGAAGGTAGGAAAAAGGTGCAAGATGTATAATTTGAGCCGAAAGGTGCTCGGAGCAAGCGCCCGGTATGGTCGGACACCACGGGGGTGTACCAGTACGTCAAGGCGATTTAATTGCCAGGTATTGAAAAGTGACTGCAACGCATGGCGCGCGCTTGTCGGCACAATTCACGTGTGTTTACCGATATATGCAAGAAATGCGCGTTCTGAATTTATGCGCACAATAACAATGGACATCCGCACAAATCGCGAGTTCTAGTTTCGATCGTTAAATACGAAAAGAAGTCGCCTTGTTTCGGTTCTTTGTTTCAAAGCGCGTCGCACGGGGTCGCGGAATGCCCGTTGCATTTCTCGAATATTCCTGCGTTCGACCGCTTCGATTTGCGACTCGAAAGCGACGATTATTTATTTTGTTCCTTCGCGGCGCGTATTGCGATCTCGAAGCGCTGGACAATATAATAGCACCGGTATGCCGCGGGTCTTTGTTGAATTCCTTCGGCGCGAAATAGTCAGGAATGTCCCGCATGTCCCGATGTCCTCTCGCTTCCAACAACAACAACAAACGAAGAGATGCAAGCGATAAGCGTTGAACATTACCACGAATCGCAATTTGCGCATTGTTTCGTGCTGCTTCTTCTTTGCCAATGTCCAGCAGGATAATTTGATTATCATGAGTATTCCCTCATTATAAACAGCGTATTTTTCTACTGCAACATTCGCTACTGTCTCAGCCTGGATTATAATTTGACGTTAGTCTTGCGTACGTGCGGCAATTTCGAGCTAAATTAGTACGAATTTAATCGTTGACAACAAAATCATCGTTTTCCGTCCGTGCGACTGCAATTTTCGTACCATGTGCGACGTGTATGCATTCAAATGATTCCAGAACTATCTTGTTGCGGCTGCGCGCGCAGCTGAGTCAAATGGCGTTTCGTCTATTATTTGAGCGGTAATGCAGTAAGAGTAACTCTAGCTGTTTGTCGTGTGGTACCTACTTCTTGCAAGAGAACGTGTAGGTTTGGATAGTAGGAGCGCTAGCGGTGAAATCTACACCTACCACGTTTTGCTTTCTTGCGTCACATACGGACGCGACCAATACACACTTAAGTCACATGCGGCCAACGCGCAAATGCAACGACATAAAAAGAAATTGTAAACAACTCAGTTTTTTGCTTATCCGAAAATTTAAACTCTTATTTTTTATTTTCTGCGACTTCAATTTGGTTGTTTGTTGTTGCTAGGTACCTATGTCTGGAGAGTGTGTTGTGTAGAGTTACATCTTCCAAAGGCGCGGTCCTTCAACCTCAGCGCACGCTCGAGCTCTTCGCTGACTCGACTTTTAACTCTTGGCTAGCTGGCCAGCAGCGTGCTGCTCCACCGTGTTATTACGGCCAGATAATAATGCCGATTCTGTACTTCTCTGCTTGCGCACTGCACGTAGCTCGTGACTCGTGATTATAGATTAAAGTTTGATAATGCGCCTCCGATGTGCTTTGATTCTCCTTGTTCGAGCTCGTGTTCGATTCTCTCTTTCTACATTCTCTACATTGGCGGCCATGTTTTATTTTTAACATTTTGACTCGGGGCATTTTTGGATATAGGTAAGATTAAAAAAATGCAAAATATTGATAAAAAGAAGTTAAAATATAGTTTGATGAGCGGTCAGGAGAGGAGCCCTCCCGAGGTGTGCCCTCTTGCTGGGACGCAAATTACACCGTTCGATATATCTCGATGGGCTGTTTTGTTCCACGTGAAGAGGGTTTTATGCTATCGCTGTTGTGGCCAGAACCACCCTATTCTTTTGACGCCAGCCGCAGCATACCTTCGAACGTCAATCATCTCCGAGTCTGAGAAAAGGTACACACGGCGTCATCCTCCCGACCAATAGGTGTATCCTACATAGTTTTCTTTTTAAAAGCTCTTTTGTTGCAAACGCTCTTGTATCGTCGATAGTAACTTGTGAAGTTAAGTGATGTTTGACTTTTGACACTTCTGCCTTCTGCTTTTTTGATGTTTATTATTGTCCTGAGTGAAAAGCTGAAAAAGTTCGAATATACGAAATTTTCGCGAGTTAGTCGCTTGTGATCGCGTTGAAATTACTCAAGGCATTGTCTTGGCCAATGGCTCGTTTGTTTCCATCACGAGCGGTGTCGTGATCTTCGTGCGCGCCGAGTTCGTGAGCACGCCGCCATTGCGCTGCCATCATTCCGCGGCTCTGCACGACGCACACGCACAGCGTGATAGCGCGCGCTCCGGCTCGTTTTACTTCGCCAGGAATTCTCGGATGAATGCTTCGTGCGGCGAGATTTCGTTATCGCCGGCCCGCAGTAGTTTGAAAACAGAAAATAAAAATAAAAAATAACCGCCAAAGTATCGAATTCTTCGTTACACAGAAAACGCAAAGTGTTTTTTCACCAACGAATAACTTATCACTAAGTTATGGTTGATGTTTTCAACAAGGCCACATTGCTTAGCTCTTAAGAGCACGTATACAACACATTCGATGACGATATGTACGTGCACGAAACGTACACAACTTATGTTGATTTCTATTCGCTTTTGTTTTGTCGCACATGAAAAGAAAAACTCCCAAAATATTTACTGAACAGTGTAACTTGATTCTCTTGGTGTGGATGGTGTGAAAATAAGTCGTAAATAACTTTCAGCACTTACGCAACGCCTAAGAAGACATTATTATTGTTTAAATGACAATATGGCGATCATGTGACGAGAGGCGGCTGTAAATAGTCGCCATGTTGCTGATATGCAACAAAGGTGGACTGTGGGGTTGCTGGGTGGTTATTTTGCTTGTTGTAACGTTGCAAGATGGCGTTGATGCAGCAGGCAAAGGGCGCAAGCCTAATAAACTCGGCCATTCCCATGGCGGCAGAAGTGCGTTGGGTGATACAGCCGCCGCCTTCTACAAACCGCACGGCAATTCATCTCAACTCCAGCTGTATCACAAGGCGGACTCCAAAAATCGAAAAACAAATCATTTGGATGCTGAGTTTATCAGCGGAAAAAGTAAGTGCAAACACAGACAGTACGGAGAAGAATCAACTGCAAACATCGAATATTGATTGTTTAAACAATTAACACAAACACACAAGAAACAAGTTTGACATGGCTTGAAGTTGGGATTTTACCGGCTTCTCAGAATCATGCAACGCTTAAAAAATAACTTAAGCTGTATTAATATTAGAACAAGAGGAGTTTAAATTCTTGAATTTTTGGGCATCCAAAAAGTCGTGTTGGAATTTTAAAACCTAGCAAATTATTCAAAATATTTGATTATCAAAAATATGTATAACTGTGAAGTTTAACTAAGTGACTAAGTTTTGCATACATTACCGCACAACTTGTTAGCGACCAAGGTGTTCTTCGCGGAACACTCAGCGGCGTCATCGCCGAAACAAACAAGTAAAAACCGAACATAAATTAACATAAAAAGTAGTGCCAACTCTCGACAGAGATGAATTTATGTTAATTTATGTTGCGGTCTTCGGAGCGTCTTCGAAAGCATCGCTGGAACGCGTGCGTTCGACAAGAAGTGCCGCAAGTGTTTTTCGTGTGTACCGTTCAACTTCGGGTGTTCGTGAAATTCCTGCAAAGCCGCGCGCGCGCTCAAAACATAGCGTACGCCGTGTGCGCACGCGCGATCTGCTTAGGCAATGTTTAACGCGTTCTCGCTCGTTCTAGAAACGACCGCATGCCGCAATAACATTTCCGAGAACAACTATACCATAAAAGGCGTCATAATATTTGCGATTATTATATTTTTGCAAAGCGTCGGTAAGGTGGTACCAGGTGGTTCGCCTTGAATACCATACCTACGCGTCGCACTTTCGGTTGCCTACGAAATCGGGTATGGCGCGCGCGCAATGTTTAATTCGAGCAGGACTGATGCAAATATGCCAAACAAATATGTACCTGCACTTGTGTACACGAAACGCACATATATATTTCCTCGTCAAGCGGAAAAAAGAAGTAAAATGTGCGTCTTGTTTGTTGTGTTATCGCTAGTTCTCCGGTTGGTGGTACTCTGCTAGGAGTTAAGTGCTTTGGGCACAGCGCGTTTCCAACGAATTAGATTTTAATCCATTACATCGACCTTCCAACGTTTATTCGTTTTATGACGCGTGCTTGGTAATGCTTAGAAACAAAAAGCGATGTCGGTGTAGCTCTCGGAAAGGTACCCAATAAACGTTTACACACTTGTACGCTCTCCGTGTGGTGAACGCGCGCGCGCGCGACACTCGCAGGAGATGCTGTGCGCAAGCAGGATGGTAAATGTAGAAACTCTGATGGAATTCGTCGCCGGCAGCGTGCACGGTGTGCCTGGCATAGGTAGGCTCTTTGGAGATCGCAGAATGTGACCCGACTTTGCTCTCGCTCGCGCTCTCGCCGCGCGCAACAACGAGAGGATTAATAAACGTTATTAGTGAGCGGCCCCGCGAGAGCGCACGGCAAGAGCAAAAGTCGTAAAACAGGATTTCGGCCCGAGGCGCCGTTGTTCATATGCCGTGCCGCACGTATGGTGTACGTGAACATAACGCCGCCATGACATGTATTTTTAGTTTTTCGTATGAAATTTTTAAAAAGAGGTTTTTGCCTGTTTATAATAATGATAGTTATGCGCCGGATTGTTTTTCTTTTGTTCCTGCTATGCAAAACAATGCTCATGTGTGTATTCAACGTTTCAGTATGCATTGGTACGAATGGTCGCATGTCGGTACCCTCCAATCGGGACCACCACTATCGCAACATGAAGGAGCGCTTTACGAACTGCACCTACGTCGACGGCAATCTGGAATTGACATGGCTGCAGGATGAGGATCTCGATCTTAGTTTTCTGCAATATATTCGGGAAGTCACCGGTTATGTCCTCATTTCACACGTGGACATTCGTAAAATTGTACTTCCGCGACTTCAGATCATCCGCGGTCGGACTTTATTCAAGTTACATGTTCATGATAAAGAATTTTCACTGCTTGTGACTCTATCCAAAATGTTTACGTTGGAACTACCCGCATTGAGAGACGTTCTGAGTGGTAGTATTGGCCTCTTCAACAACTACAACTTATGTCACATAAAGACAATTAATTGGGATGAGATCATCAGTGATCCAGCTGGTTCCTACGTATACGTTTACAATTTCACTTCTCCGGAGAGAGAATGCAGTCCGTGTCACAGTGATTGCTCTGTAGGATGTTGGGGTGATGGTCCTGAAAACTGCCAGAAATTCTCAAAGGAGTATTGTAGTCCGCAGTGTTACCAGGGGAGATGTTTTGGATCCGAGCCGCGTCAATGCTGTCATCTCTTCTGTGCTGGTGGATGCACTGGACCTAAACAGAGTGATTGTCTTGCCTGCAAAAACTTCTATGACGAAGGTGTTTGTACGCAGGAATGCCCCCCGATGCAGATTTACAATCCTACCACGTACTCATGGGAGCCGAATCCCAACGGGAAGTATGCCTATGGTGCAACGTGTGTGAAAAAGTGTCCGGAACATTTACTTAAAGACAGTGGCGCTTGTGTACGGACGTGTCCGCCGAACAAAAAGGCGACCAACGGCGAGTGCGTTCCTTGTGACGGGCCCTGTCCGAAAACTTGTCCGATTGTGGGTGATGGCACCATTCATGCACTTAATATTGAATCATTCCGCGGGTGTACAGTCATTGACGGATCCATTCAAATTTTGGATAATTCTTTCTATGGCTATCAGCATATCTTTGCGAACTACACTTTCGGAGACCGCATTCCGGCAATGCATCCCGATCAACTGGAGGTGTTCAGTACGTTAAAAGAAGTGACTGGTTTTATTAATATTCAGGGAAATCATTCCGCCTTCAAAAATTTGTCATATTTTCGCAATTTGGAAATTATAGGCGGGCGACATCTGCACGAATATTTTTCATCATTATTCATAGTAAAGACCTCATTAGAATCTCTAGAACTGAAATCTCTGAGAAGTATTAACTCTGGTACTGTGATTATCTTGGAGAACATGAACTTATGCTACGCGGTGAACATTAACTGGAAGAAAATTGTGCGCTTGAATGATCATGTTTCAATGATCAAGAACAACAAGCAAGATGAAAGTTGCTCTCGGGAAGGTCTTGTTTGCGATAAGGAGTGTAGTTCAGATGGATGCTGGGGTCCTGGACCGACTCAGTGTCTCGCTTGTAAAAATTTCAAATACGGAAGCACCTGTATTCAGAATTGCCATTCTTTGCCAGGGTATGTATAAAACACACACTTTCTCTTAAAAGTGATTTAACTAATGTTTCATTTTGTTCGTGTAGAATCTATAAGGATGAAAACAATATCTGCAAGAAATGTCACGAACAGTGCGGATTTTCATGTACTGGACCAGGCGCTGACAACTGTACTACTTGTAAACACTACAAGGACGGTCCATACTGCGTTTCATCATGCCCGGCCACCAAATATGCTGACGGGGGAGTTTGTCGTCCATGTCACAAAAACTGCGTCGATGGCTGTACTGGTCCCAGCAATGCTCTGGGAACCGGCGGTTGCAAGTCTTGCGATAGAGCAATCATGAATGGGACCACTGTATGTCTTCAACGGGACGAATCTTGCCCAGATGGTTACTATTATGAGACGGTACAGCGTTCTCAACAGAACAGCATGAAAGTCGCTACAATATGTAGAAAGTGTCACCCTCGTTGTAAGAAGTGTAGCGGATACGGTTTCCACGAGTTGGTTTGCCAGGAATGCACAAATTACAAACGTGGTGAACAGTGCGAAGATGATTGTCCGCAAGATCACTATGCCGACGACGAAACGCATATGTGTGTTGAATGTGACAAGGAATGTCGAGGATGTACCGGTCCGGGGCCGGATCACTGCGTAGCATGTCAAACTCTAAAGATATATCCCGATGGTCAGCCGTCCAATACATCCTCGTTTACTTGCGCTGATAAATGCCCACCAAATTTTCCATCCAGAAGTTTCTTGCCTGATCAACTTACCCATTACTGTTCTGCGGAAGAAACTGCCCTCAGAAGCGCGCTAGCCGTTAACAGACTTCCATGGTTCATGGTAGTAGCAGGTTTCATTATAATTCTTGCAAGTTGTGTCGCTATTGGTTATGGTTGTTACTGCTATAAGAAGAATAAAGTAAAGGAAGAAACCATGAAGATTACTATGGCTATGACTGGAATTGAAGATGATTGCTCAAAACCAAGCAATGTTCGTCCAAATTTAGCGCGTTTAAGAATCATCAAAGAGGCAGAAATTCGTCGTGCTGGCATTCTTGGATATGGCGCATTTGGTACTGTGTACAAGGGCGTTTGGGTGCCGGAAGAAGAAAGTAACAAGATCCCAGTTGCTATTAAAGTTCTCCGTGAGAACACTGGTGCCAACTCCAGTAAGGAGCTCCTGGATGAAGCTTACATTATGGCAACCGTCGAACATCCAAATTTGTTGAAATTATTGGCGGTATGCATGACCTCACAGATGATGCTCATTACGCAATTGATGCCTTTGGGCTGCCTACTCGACTTTGTTCGCAAACATAGGGAAAAAGTCGGATCCAAACTACTTTTGTCATATTGCACACAAATTGCAAGAGGCATGGCCTATCTTGAAGATAAACGCCTTGTTCATCGTGATCTTGCCGCAAGAAACGTATTAGTTCAAGCTCCAACAGTGGTTAAAATTACTGATTTCGGACTTGCGAAATTGTTAGACATCAATGAGGAAGAGTACAAAGCAGCAGGAGGCAAGATGCCCATTAAATGGCTTGCATTAGAATGCATTCAACACAGAATATTCACTCACAAGTCAGACGTGTGGGCGTTCGGTGTAACTGTCTGGGAGTTGCTTACTTTCGGTGACAAACCTTATGATAGTGTCCCTGCTAGAGATGTTCCTGACCTTCTTGAAAACGGAGAACGGTTGCCCCAACCCGCCATTTGTAGTATAGATGTGTACATGATTATGATTAAGTGTTGGATGCTGGACGCCGAAAGTAGACCTTGCTTTAGAGAATTGGAGGATGATTTTTCGAGGATGGCGCGCGATCCCCCCCGATATTTGGCCATTGATGGTGATGTTTACCTAGGACGTGGACATGTAGCCCATCAGGTAATTCTATTCCAATCTTGTGATTGTTAACGTATATTAACTTTGATTTTATTTTATAGGATCAACCTGATAGCATATCCAAAACTCTTTCATCGATTTCTAATAATGGGACCTTAGACTATCACGAGAACCAGCCTAAGTCGAGGGCTCCATTCCAGGCTTTGTCATTTTCACCTCCACCCACCCCAGTGAAATGGCCGAATGGCTCACAAACCTCTGATGGCAGCTGTGCGCCACAAAACCAACACAATTGGAATCAAGAACGTTTGAGGTTTGCTCAAGCGATGAGCGTTGCATCAACAATCAAACGGGATACCTCTGATGATTCCAGTATATTATACAGTGGTGACGGTTTGGGATCTTATGAATACGATTCAGCTTCACGCGCCCAAGCGCAAGTTGGCAATGTGAAAGTGGATCTTCCGGTCGACGAGGATGATTATCTCGTGCCTTCTCCACAGCAAGCTCAGCTGCCTTACGTTGAGCTCAAACCTGATTTAAAAGGAGATTCAACCAGTGGTGCCAGCGGAGGTGTGTACTTCAGTACGACAAACATCGACAATCCCGAGTACATTTTCAGCAATGATACCCCATTGGATACGCGCCCTTGTCAAACGTTAGGAATTCCTACGCTATCGGAGTTTGTTGACTCGAATCCTGAAGTGACGAATCCAACACGTGGCTCAGAAGAAGAGTCTGATCACGAGTATTACAACGATTTCGATCGTTTAACGCGAGAACTTCAACCGCTGCAACGAAAGGGTGGTGAAACGACAGTGTGACACGGTGACAATATACAAAACAGACTGAGAACTCGTCTCCTAGTTTTCCTTGCGGAAGCAAAAGCACAGCGCGTGTATCTTAATTAAGTGCCATTTGAACATAAAGTGGCTTTCCAATGTTGTACATAATTAGCAACGTAAGTGGACGTAATGGAGGATGAGGAGGAAAGAACTACGAAGGGCACAACTGCGTACAATATTCTTGCCCGACGCATCTATCTGTGATAAGTTAATGAGCAAATAATTTTTTAAGCCGAGCGTAAGAATACCAAACGGCGCAAGCACAAAATGTATCTTAATTTTTTTGTTAGATGATTGTTTATATTATTTTTCGTGTTTTAAATCGATGTTTATTGAAAATGAAACAAACAAACAAACAAACTTATATGGCGTGATGTTTGCCACAAAATAGAAGATGAAGCGCATCTTTATGGACCGGCAGACGAATGTACTAAACTTGTGTGCCATACGAGTACATACATGAAAATTTAAAAAAGAATATGATGAAAATTGCAGCGGAGGATCAAATAATTTTGTATAGAAATGAACCTTTTATATACTGTCTATATTTGTATATTTATATGATGTTATTACTATTACTGAGCGCCTTAAAATACATACGAATAAAATATTTAAATACAATTTGTAGAGTATTTACAATAAATCGCAGCGTTAAATTTTAATGTGTAATTTAAGCTCAAGGTTGAATGGGAAATGTTTGGGCAACGATTCACCACCAATGGCTGCGCATCAGCGACGATTAATATGGAAATTAATGACATCATAGCGGTATGTATGCGAGCTTAGATATATCTATTAAATTTATCAAGTTATTACATAATTGGTGCTTACTCTCTTACTCGCGCAATAAATCAATCCTTCAAATTATAGAATAACGGCTTCCAGTAACAAAGGGTTCCAGCGGCAATAATTTTACATAATACGCGCGCGAATAACGTGATTTGTATTAGAATTCCAATCATAGTTACTTAATGCACCTAAGTAATCGTGATAAACGCTACAAACACTGTGGCAGGATTAGTTGTACATTTGCTATTACTATACGGTTATGAGTAATTGCATTGTTTCAAGATTAACGATTGAATAATCTCGTAAATAATGCTAATCGTGACTGCTTTTTATTATATGGGGACGGAACATGTGGCTCGCGGTCTTGTGAACAGCAAATGGCCGCTATTTTACAAAATCTAATTTTATTAGATATACCGGTAATAAACCAGAATATTTACGTGTTATTACGATCCCGGATTGCCAAAAAATGACCTTTATGCATAATGGCGTACGCAGCCATTAATAAAATGGCGGCGGAGCAATTTGGTGTGTTTGAAGACCGCTGACGAAAGCCATGCTTGCTGAGTCGTTACAACCGCGAGAAAAAGACGCGGTGAAGAAAGAAATAAATAAAGAAAAACGAGTTGTGCCCGCGCGCGGCCGTGAACTATAATCGTTATGTAACAATGCGCGAGAGTGTGCGCTCAAGACTGCTGAGCAAGTTAAGTACTTCGTACACGAAGCTTGCTTTGCCTGTTGCCTCTTTTAGCTTGAACCAGTGCACCACACTGGTTATTGCACTTACTCAATTCCAGTAAATATAGAAATTATTCTAAATGCAAGTTTTTAGTTAGCTGAACAAAACTGAAATCAATTTATGCGTTTTGTTGAGCAGAACTAAAGTTTTTGTATGTACGTGTGCAATATGATTCTGCAATAGGCTTAATTATTGCAAAACTGAAATCTAAATATGGCCGCATTTCACTGTGAACTCAAAATCTTTCTGTTTCTAGACTTTAATATAAAATTTATTACATTAATTTCGCACCATGGATCTAAACTTCTACACAGATTGTAGCAACACATATTGAGCAAGGCGCCGAAACGTATTGAGAAATGCACATTTACAACATTTGCAAATTGCAAAAAAATTGAAACTTGCAACACACGCGGCGAATAATTGGAGTAAGGAACGGCGCTCGCACAGGCGCAGCTCTACTATTTACAATGTGCCACAATCACTAATTGATTGGTTGAAATTTTGAAATTTCAGACTAATTAAGCAAACAACCAGCCCGCGGGGCAAGTAAGCAGGACAAGAACGTTTGACCTGAACTAACAATCTACTCGGCGTCCGAACGCGTTGTCGTCGATTACCCAACGCGCTGCGGTCGTGTTTTATTGGTTCGAACTACTTCTTAATTCGAAAGAGACGTTCTCTTGCTGCCGAGAGACTTACGTCGCGGATCGTCATTTAAGACGCACGATAATTGTGTTAATTGAGTCTAATCAAGCGATTAATGCACAATAAGCTGTGATGGAAATGTCATGTGACGTATTGCAAGCTTGCATAAACGTGCTTGATAACATAATGTTAACTTTTTCGACAAAAGCATACGTTCCTCATCTTCTGAGGTATGCTCTTCTACAAGAAACAAACACACACACACACACAGAAACACTCATGAACCGTTGCGCAATTCCGTGTCATACATTTAAGCTTTTATACGAGATTGTAGGTTTACGCACGCAGGCTGGGCATTGCGCGGAAAGACGAACGCTCACTAGGAACGTATGTAATACCCTAGTTAATCCAAATACAAAGTGGGCAAGATGGCAAAAACGCCATTCAATTACATTATTTGTACCGGTGCATTGCGAGTGCACTCCGCGCCTTGCTGGCGATTGTGCTACGCAAAGTTACGAAGTTGACGATTGATTTCGAAATTACCATCGGGACACAAATCTCAATTCTCAAACATATATGCCTAAAAGTCTCTTTAACTCTTTACGACTTGGTTACATTTGCTTTTGCTAAAGCAACAGCGAATAGAACGGCGCTGCGTTGAGAAGTTGTTGTCTTAGGTCAAGCCTAATTACGTCGTCGTCGTCGACGACGTTTACACACTCTGCCTCTCGATTATGAAAACTCTTCGATTGCGCCTTCCATAACTTCCATTAAAGTTACAAATTACACTGTTGGGCAATAACTGCGCGCGCGCACCAACAGTGCAAGGTATTGCGATCTCGTTACGTCCTACAAATTTTCATACGCGCGTAATACGAGTACCGCAACTCATTATTAACTCTCGTTTCAGCTGGGAGTTGTGGTGTCATTTATGTTCGTAACATGTTGCAGACGCCTACGACAAATATCTACAAACGATGCAATCGCGAAATTATGAATGCGTGAAATGTTATTCATTTATTCACGCACAGATAATTTGAATAGATAAAGACAATATTAAGATTAGTTTCAATTACATTTTAGTCACATACACTCACATTTTGTTGATAAAATATCATTCCGATAAATTCAAGTACCATGATTTATTTGTTTATTGTTGATTTGGGGCCACAAATCGCATGAAAACAAAGAAAAATTATATTTTATCGTGATATAAGTTATAAAATACACGATTGTATCGATTATAACTTATATTTGCAACAATAGAACTTATTTTGCAATGTTTTCGCGATAATTTTAAATAAATACCAAATTCTGCACATAGAGGGCGCTACGGATGGTTTTGCTTGGTTTACTTCAGCAGGACTGCAGGCTGGTTGCTGCATGAAGCATCAGTTCAGAAGTTCAGCACGTAGTACGTCGGTTTGTAGACTCGAAACCGATTGAACCGTTGGCAACGTGCAGTACAGTGAGTGTTCACAGCGTTTGGCGCTTCGCATGAGGGAGAGTGCGCGTTCGTGGGTTCGCGCACGTTGTGCCGGCACGCTACGAGTCGTGAGTCGCCGCGGTAGTCGTCGGGCGTCCCGCGATCCGTTCGTTCAGCAGCGCGTCTCCGGGCAGTCGCCGCTGTTTTACTCGCGACGCGGGCGAGTCGATACACGTGCGTCCCGAAGTTATTGTTTACGTAACGTCGTACGCGATCACTACGAACGCGCATCGCCACCTGTTATGTAACCGCACGACGCTCGTACTATACGCAGCCCTAAAACAAAGCCGACAGCAACGTGAATCGAACGCACGTCGCAGGACCACCACCAGGAGCGGGTAAACAAAGCCGCGCACGCTTTGCGCCCCCCACAACGAAGATAAAACGCAAGTGCCGCGCAAGTTACACGGGCGCGACATAACTCGATTACATAATTTCCCGCCCTGTGATTTACCGAAATTCGACGCATTTGCGGTGAGTGTTTCCGGAATGTTGGCTGGACGTGGTGCAAACAGACAATGAGCTTGTTACACAATATACACGCGTGGTGCGCGAGTTTACGGGATGAAACGACCGCAGGAACACGTTGATCTGATCCAGTGAGTGCGCATCTGGAGCGCATCGTTGAGCTTACACAACTATGGAATCACACTGTGATAAATTACATAACGCTTCGGCGTTCCCGACGCCGCGGCCCATCCGGACGCGGAGCAAATCTCGCAGGAGTAAAACGAAAGCAACGGATTCTTCAGCAGCAGCCAAGGCGTTCGCCAATTTTGGGCGGGCATTGCACGAAGTGATTGAAAATCGCCGCGCTTTGTTCACCTGCCCAATGTGCAGGCGTATCCTGTCGGTGCCGGTGACGGGCGAATGTGGCCACACGTTTTGCGCCGCCTGCGTCGAAACCACCAGCAGGTGCACGACGTGCAACCACGAAGACACTGCGGAGGCTTCGAGTCGCAGGGTCAACGTGCTCGTGCAGGATATTTGCAACAAATGGAGGGAAACGCATCCGAAGCAATTAGGTTGGTATACATTTATTTAAAATATGATCATCTCTTGATCTCGCCTATTATTTATAATTTATAACTGCGTGACTTCTATTAAGGCGCGACGATACAAAAGTGTCGCGGTGCGTACGTGCGCGGAATGAATAATAAATGAATTATGATTGTATGAGTCAGACGCGGGTACGCGCATTGCAGCCAAGTAAAAATGGCCTAAATTTGCACTCCTGGCGCGTATTCCGTTTGGGTTCCTCCGTCATTGTTGTTATATAAACATCCGAATGAGCGATATATGAGACACGCGTTTGATAACAACTTCCGAGAAGCGATAACACCGAGCATAAGTGCCTACGTATAGGAATTCATTTGCATTAATATGTGGTTCATACTAATTTACACCGAATCTTATCAGTTGTAATGGACCCTCTGAGGGATAGCTAAATTAACTAGATTTTTAGCAATAAATAACCAAATAATCAAGGTCAAATTATTTAAATTAAAACAAAACAACATATTGATTTTTGAAGTGTTTGTATATAAATTATGCGAATTATGCTCATATCGAAATAGTTAATTATTTATATGTATACTATATACCGGTGTTTATTAATTCATTGCAACACTTTTTGATTATGCGCCGCCGCAATGCGTTCACCGCGGATTTAAATGCGCGATATTCATGTCAAGGTGTACACGAAAAGCGTGAATTCGCACGTAAACTTTAAACTCAGTTATAGACGTTCACCTTTCGTTTCGTACTCTTTTACTCTTTTTACACACGATCATGTTCTTTGCTGTAAAGGAACACTTGCAACAAGAGCAAGTTTTATATCATTACAATCATAACACGCTCATTAAAGCGTTAGTTTATTGATATTAATTACAATATATCACGATACCATGAAAGGAAATGATAATTGTTTACTACGTTTGTCTTTTGACATTGTGACGACAATACTTATACTATACGAGGCATATTTAAACGGAAAATTTAACATGAGACGCAATAGTAAACGAAATCCGCAGCGAGCTCGTGACGAAACTGCATTCATTGTTCTCTTTGTAAAAGTATAACGATATTTCGTATTTGGGTCAGCAACGTGCCATACGATGCTAATAAATAAATAGAACGAACGCGAAATATTACCCCGGGAGTGTTCTGGTTAATTATTTCTGAAAGCGAGATGATCAAACGGTTTTATTTAATCAATGAAATTAATTGCAATGAATTAAAATCAAAACAGGCAGCTATCAATCAAAGCTCATTCATGTAATCTCTTATAGTTATACCTAAGTATAGATTTACGCGTGTGTTACATGTGTATCTTTGCTTTGATGTGGTTTGTTGTTTAACGCTACATGCTACATGCAATGTGTGCGAACGGTCAAAAGAAGTTAAGAGCAAGGCACCCGAAGAGCGAAAAGAGCGAGCGATGAAATAATAATAATGCCGTAATACGTTTAACGTTCGAGCTGCGCCGCGCGTTACATCATTGTCTTATGTGCCGTGGCATTACGGCTTTTGCAGACATTACTCTATAACTGTGAATAATATATAATATGAGATTATTAAATGTATGCCTTTGTGTGTGTGTGTATGCGTGCGTGTATGTTGTGATATTCGTTGGTTGCTATCGCTTGGTGTCTCATAGAAAACATAAAATCGATAATTGTTTATTTCGCATTATTAACAAGAAAATCATTCTCACCGGAATGTTTTCTCGCCCATCGCCCACTGCTGCTGCTATCAAGTGCTTTCCTGTCGATTATGACATAAGCCAAGTTGGCAACATTCGTAATCTATGTCAAGGAGACGCGAATTACATAAATTAGACAACAATGAAACTCGTTTTATTTCGTTTGATTGGCATTACATTTATTTTAATAAATTTATCGATCGCTCACTGGTGTACACGATACTCTCAGTGCTTCATGTGTTTCATCATCATTTTTTTTACGCAGACCGCTTAACATTTAAATTCACACATAAGTTACTTGTTTGTACACGTTGAATTTTTACGTAACGATATTTTTTTTTGTCCCGCAGTGTGTGTCTGTAGGTATTTTTCAATACGACCGGCGATTGCATCGATTGTTTACACAATTAGCAAATATCTTTAGAAATATTGCGCGCGCGCGCCGAAAAAACACCGACAAAATGTTAACATTTTAACTTTCAAGGACGGTCTCCAATCATGACACACATATATCGACACAATAAATGCGGCTACTGTCTTATAAGCCTCAGATCCACATATTGGCGACCAGTTAGAAGTAAATCCGAGTTATGTAAACTTTTTACATGTGTTGACGTCGTGCGGGTTGTCTACTAGATGCGTATGTGTGGTGTATTCGCGTAAGTATTGGGGACTCGCGTTATTTAATCAAATAAATAAGCACAAAGGTATCGGCCACGAACAACCACGGTTCGACAGTGAGCGATAATCCATGTTTGAGCGTGATAACCTCGTGTAATTGTTACGTGACGACCCGTTACCTACGTAGACCCGCTGAAAACACACGCGACACGCGCGCACTGCGCGAAAAACAACTGGGAAAATATGTAATAAATAAAAACATCGTATTTTCCGGACGCTTTTCTTGATCTAACCTTTTAGATTTGAATTGGGTGATGGATGGGCAGCATTACGATTACTTCGTAATGCGGATCCGCGAGCGAGCGTTACGTAAAACCGGAATCGCTTAAAATAAGTTTATTATCAGCAATACCAGAGCGGCGAGCGCGCAAGTTGACTGACTTGTGCGTTCGCGTATGTGATTCAAGTGTACACATCCTCTATTTACACTTGCAGTATGCGGCGTTGGTATTGTCGCCTGTGGTAGAGACAACGTTTTCCATCTGTTATATCATCACATGATGATTGTTTTTGCGTTTGATTCTTAATTAACATTTAATTATATTATTTTGTGTTTAGTATGTGTAAGTGGAAACTATGTAAATTGCATTTGAGGTTAATTTTAAAAGAAATTTCTCATTTGTTTAAAATGACAATACTAATGATGCATCATTAACAATAGTTGCATTCTCTCACAAATTATGCCAATTTCTGGCGAATTTTTTATGTATAGTCAGTTCTAGGAAAGTTTAATTTACAGAAATATTTTAGTTTAAATGCAAAAATTAAAATTTATGACATCACTATATGCTTGTAAGATTTCAATTGTTTGAGTCATCAGAAGCTCCATCATCAGTAAATTTTCGTGGACTTTACTATATTATTATCATGTCGTGCATGTTTGCGCGGCCGTTAAAAATAGATCAAACGTTCGCGGGCGGCGGGCGCCCGTCGCATTGTTTTCAAAACACGAGTGTAAACTGTTAGCGCGTACGTGCGCTACAATTTTACTCCTTGGAGCTTTTTCGACGCGTAATGATTTAACCGTCTGCGCACCGCTTCCTTGTGTGCGTATCATCACGTTTATTGTTCCCCGCCGCATCAGACCACCGCACGCTAATCGTGTTCTTTTTTAGTTGTAAGTTTGAAATTTATTAACGCCCGGTCTGATTCCTGGGCGAGCAGAGAATGAGCAGATGCCACATGTCACATCGGGTCGCCCCGTCGCCCGCATTTATGTAATGAATCCTTCGACCGTTTATTGTCTCGCGTGTGCGCGCCTCCTCTCGAAATCGCCGCGCGCGCGCGAGATCGACGCCGTTACACAACCGAAAATTACTAACGCGCCGCATTACGAACACAATGCGTTACAAAAACACATTATTACACATTTTACACAATCGAGAGATATGTTTACTTTAATTCCCGGCTTCTTTGTCAGGGAGGGACCTAGGTAATCGATGTGGCGGCTAAGCGTGACATGTTTAAATTTGGAAGGTACAGTTTTTTTCTTTTCAGAAGGTAACGCGCCGAAATTTATGGCAAGCTTTTTGTTTTCAGACACTTGGGAACAAATGTGTTATTTTTTTTCTCTCTCGCTTGAAATTATACCAACAAAACTATCAACATAAAAAAGTTTCGCATGTAAAAAACGGCGAGCAGGAAGTTTACGATGTTACTTTTTTTTTTTTGGGGACAAGATCAACGAACTAAATCATGTTATTGCGCGGTGTGCCATTAAAACGGCGGCCGCCTCTTATAATATTTTATATAAATATTTTGAATACTGTCTGTATCATATCGCAAATATAAAAATTACATTCAGTTTATTTTTATTTTTATCGCAGACACGAGTGACACTAATATAATTAAGCGAGGAATGTTTTTCAAACAATTTGATTCGTGATATTGGACTTTCCGACAATACCAATGACAATGGCATGATTAAATTAGTTTTGTAGATTTATAAAATTCAACACTGAATACATAATATGTGGTTGTGTGTTGTGCGTTATTAAGAGCAAGAGCATACGTAAGAATATCATTGTATTACGCTTTGTTAACCGGTGTAACGCACTCTGCAACGCAGAGGTGTAATCATGGCAGGTGTCGCAATCCGGATTAACTTATATTTTCGACAAGTGTTGATTCATACCTTTTAGCTCTCGACATGAATTACTCACTCACATCTCAAATTTGTAAGAAGCACAATTATTTAGTGTTAATGTTGTGGTATATTCCAATGTGTATGAAATTGATCATTTTTATTTTCAAAGTGTTTATGGCTGGTAAACTTAACTTTTACGCAATGTAACGACATAATACACGACATAAAAAGAGCCAGCCATAGTAAAACAAAGAAATATTATGAGTGCGTCATCCACTTCGCATTGCATTGAGTCGCTCATCATAATGACCCCGCAACAAATAAAAAATGTGGTAAACAAGAGTGGAGGTCTGGCGATGACACTCGTATGGTGTTTCAGCGACTAACCTATCCAATAGAACTTCGAATATAAAGCGTTTTATTCGCTGAGTCGAGGGAAAGGATGATGATTCATTTGAAAAGGTCTGTCTCTTCTCTTAGGGACGATGACGTGGACGCATGCAAACGCGAGGAATTGCGCACGCCACATGAGACATGAACGAACGCCGGTCGTCGTCGTCATTAATGTTCAATTCTTGTAATACAATAACGCGCGGTGCGACCAGCCGTGCGCTCGCCTCTCTGTTATGCCATCAGATTGCGATTACGTTTTCAGACGTTTTGTAATATCTTGGCAATACACGTTTGCAGCAACCCGACCCGTGCACCACAGACAACAAGAGCTTCTCGCTCGCGAGGTGAGCTAAGGCGTTTCTGTAATCGAATGTGTTTATTGTACAATACCAGTACATTACTCAAATATTTGTAAGAGCACACTAGCATTAAAGAAGTACATACAAGTGTTGCTCAATGAAATATGAAGTAATGAAATATCAATAGCACTTTGCAATATTCAAACACAACGCGATCGTTACCTCAATTCGCTTCTAATGCCGGGGAGTAATTTGTGTAGAAACAATTATATAAAACCGTGAGTGGAGTAAACATAAACATCTTATGCATCATCGGTACGAATAGTTTACAGGCTTCAGTACAATATATCAACAAGACTGAAAGCTTCGCGTAAATTTCCAGGGAACTATTTGTGTGACATTTTGCAAAATTACTAATTCAGGACAAAGATTACAAAAGATTTGTCATTATGCAAGATGTATTACACATAGACTTGAAATATTAGTCAACTATGTTTACCTATAACAAATAATCAATTTTTGAAGTTTCGTAATAATTAAATTACATTCGCGATACATAATAAACTTGCTTGGCATTGTTGGAAGCTGATAAAGGCGACGTAACTTTTTGCGAAGTTAATGCATATTGCATTCATGTGTGCTGAAGTCGTATGGAATTCAGTCTGCATCGATTATAAAAGAATTGCGTAACGACCGGCTGCAGCTTTACTACACACCAGCGAAGTGACGTTGCGCGAGATGCAAGTTTCGCGCGCACAGCTCACACCGGTCCTTGTGCACGTGCAAATCCACGTTCTGACATTAATGTGCGCATTGCACACGCGCAAAAACGAAAACATGCTATAAAATATTGTTTATTACCCGAATGTTTATGTACTGAATCATGGTACATAATGATTTAATTCTTCTTATGTTTTTCAAATTAAGTCGTAGGTATGCACCTAGTCAATGAGTGCCACGCTATGATTTTTATTTTACGAGTTCTTAACAGTTTGTGTATTACAAGTGCAGATAACTTTGTAATTACGAGTATAGACCGTTGTCGTGGATCATAATGAATAATTATAATCGCAATAATATTTATTACGCGAAGCGCATTTGTGAGGTGGATATAATTTGTTATGATGTTTATGTAATTGCAACGCAACGTAATATTGAAGTGTGCGACATAATGTCTGTGAGATGTTCTCCATGAGAAGACAAATTGGAAAAATAGTCTAAAAATAAATTCTACGTTTATGAATGCATCAAAAATATTCTGTGCGCATTGGGAAAATCCGGTCGAATCAGTTTTTGGCCTTTACAATTCGCTTTTCTATGCTTACAAACTTACGTACTGTGTGAATCACTTATATATGTGCCTTGTGTTCGATTTATAGCGATTGGATTGTTACGAAACGACAAATTTGATTGACGCATACAGCGAAAATAACTATAAGTGATCGTTATTCTATAGAAAATTCGATGTCGTCGTAAGTTCCAGAAATAAGTCATCCTTTCAAAATGTCCAGCGGAGAGCTTATTTTAGCTGCATTTTTCGTCACTTTTTCAGCGTAAAGTGAGCCATCATACATTTATAAATAGCGAGCTTAAAATCTACTCTGACAGAATGAAAACAATCCATTTACAGCTGTAAACAAGTTTGGATTTGGTGAGCTGAGCGATGCAAGTGGTTTGCTTTGGCAAATTAATTTCCAACGCTTTTGGCGCGTGGCGCGCTTTTTCTGGAACGTCTCACTCTCAATACGGCGCAAACAGGACGAATCGATTTACTCACAATATTTATTAATAAAACCCCATGTGTGTTTACACCACATCGACCGAGTTGGAAGTTGGTTTTTGTTTCTCGTTTTTCGTGTGCTTCGATGTTTCAAATCGCGAACCTGCCGGCTCGGGAAACTTGGCGCGCTGTCAATTTCTACGATTTCACGCTGTCAATCGTGCCCAATCGATTGACGATTAAGCTTTTTTCCTTCACGCCCGCTTACGTTCTTCACCCGTCAGGCCAGAAATGATTTTTCAATTTACTGATGCGCTGGTTAGTAATTTGCAGGAAAGAATCGAACGCTAGAGGTCACTGCGTGATACACGTGAAGCGATTGCATGACGCGCACAAGTTTCAAAAGCGAGCAAGAATTATATGAAAAGTGTTATGTAATATGTATCAAGTGTGGTGGCGAGTAATAAGAATCGTACAAAAAGTTCAATTGGTCTCTCGGTCGCGGCGCGAGAGACGAGCGCGCCAGCAAGCGGTCGTCAAAGGCTGTCGGAGCCATCGAGCACAGTCGCGCACAGATTGCATTCAATTATTATAATAATTAAGGCGACTCCGCGGTGAACTGGAATTGAATGCGTGTCGCTTGCACGGCGAATGCATGCGAACGCAGTGTGATATGGCGACGCGACATTTAGAACAAATTATATAACACCTTGCGTCGTGCTCGATGCTGTACAATTGCTGTTTGGTGTATTTATTGTAGGATTCGGGAGTTCCCTTATATAGTATCATTTTTTTTATATCTATCCCAACATTTTTTTTATTTTCTCGAAATAAAATAATGGTTTTCATGAACAACAAATGCCTTTTTATTCTAAAAGTTTAACTCTCTGCACTTTGTGTTCATTGCAAAGATCCGCTTTTCGCTGAGGTTTGATTAGGTTGATGACACCGAGAACGAATAAAAACGGTGCACAAAGATCTCTGAACAGCACCACAGTTAGCGCGCCCGCGAGCTAATAGCAATGAGCGTCCGCCGCCCGGCTGTGAATGCCCCACGTTAACGTGGGAATGACCTGATGACATTGAATTGCGGCCTGCTGCTTCGCGCTCGCCGCGAATCACAATCGCTTCGATGAGTGTGTTTGCACTCGTTTGCTTGCAAGCGTCACTACGAGCGGCGAAACTTGCCAGACGCCGGCGCGTAGCGTCTGGGTGTACTGCTTTCACGATACGCGTCGCGACACTTGCGATCGCAAAAAATGCCTTCACCTTTCGGGGGCCAGTCCAGACCGGCAACAAACAAACAGTCAACAGTCTCAATCGATAAACACATACACTTGAGACCGTAAATCAGTCGAGAACGCCAGGACGTCTCGCGAGAATGATATTTGCACGTGAAAAAAAAGTGCAAATATCGCACTCGAATTATTTATGTTATGTTGCGATGCCACTGTGTCTGGTGACGTTCCAGAACTAACAGTAAACAAAATAATTTATTTTTGTTTGGTTGCTATCTTCTGCGCTTATACCGGCGATGATTGGATCGTTGGGGCGGTTGTTTATCGGGCGAATGCAGTTTCTGTTGCCATCCGTCGCCACTGCTTTGTTTATCTTTTTATTTTTACATTTATTGACTTCATGTCTGGGTTTTCGCATAATAAAACCGAGTTTTACGTGTATTTTTATTTACTTTTCAGATTGCAGTAATTCTTCGGCGGATATCTTGGGCTTTGAACCGCGTTACACGCTGCGGTCTCGCCAGGTTGGCCTTCTTGCACGAAACAAAAATCAGGACGCTATCGTAACGCGGGTAAGTGCACTCATCTGGTCGGATTACCGTTGGGTATTTACGATTTTTATTTCCATTTCAGACTGTCAGACTGCTGCTCACCAAGAGCATCAGTGAACGGCGAAGAGACAAACGGATTTCTGAACGTGAACTAGATAGAATCTTACATTGCGTGAACCTGACCAAAGGTAAACCATCAATTTCGGTTTAAGATCGATACTTTTATTCGTAATAAAATCCTAATAGTTTTTTATATTTGTTTTAAATTGTAGAAAGGCATTTAAAAGAATCCTGGAAACATCTAGAAGTCGCAGATCTCGAATGTGTCCTGTGCAGTCGTGTTTTTCACGAACCAGTGACAACCAACTGCGGGCATACTTTCTGTAAATGTTGCCTTGCACGTGTCATTGACCATGGTCTTGGCTGCCCACTGTGCATGTCTCCACTCAACCCTTTCGAGGAATCCAACGGCATTACTAAATGCATCGACGATGCTGTGCGCTTTCTTTATCCGAGAGCGTATGCTGAACGCGTGCGCGCCATGCACAGAGAACTTAAGGCGACCAACTCCCTGCCGGTCTTTGTGTGCACCAACGCTTTCCCGGGCGTTGCTTGTCCTCTCTATGTTTACGAACCTCGCTATCGTCTTTTAGCACGACGTTGTCTGCAAAGTAAGCAGCGACGATTTGCCATGGTGGCACGCATGGAAAACACTCCTGAAAAATTTGCGCCCTATGGAACTATTCTTGAAGTTAAGGATGCCGTTCATTTGCATAATGGCACCTCCATTTTGACCACCATTGGGGTAAGAAGATTCAAAGTCACTTCCAAGGGTGAACAAGACGGCTATGACACCGCAAGGGTTCAATACATTGAAGATATAAAGGTTTCATCAGAGAAGTTGCCTGAAATTTTAGAGTTACATGAAAAAGTATATCAAAAAGCAGCAAGGTGGGTCAAGTCATTGACGCCTAGAGTACTTGCTGAGGTGGAAAACTGTATTGGAGAGATGCCACCTTTAGAACAACAGTGGTTTAATATACCAGATGGTCCAGCTTGGGCGTGGTGGCTTATGCCAATATTACCTCTATCTTCAAAGCTACAAGTAAGATATATAAAAAACTTAAACTTATTACGTACTAATATTTTCTATTGTAGATTGGTTTCCTATGCACTACCAGTTTGGAGAAGCGTCTTCGCGCCATCGACAAGCTCCTGGAACACATGAAGATAAAAATGCGGGCTTTAAAACGAAATACGTTGAAGTGCACTGACACTGTCGAGAACTCAGACTCTTGTCGAATGTGGTTGGTTTGAAGTGTGAATATATACACATGCTTCCACTACCAACAGCAAACTCAATTAAACACAAAAGGATAAATGCCTTAACTTTACCGACAGATAGAAGAGGAAGCTTATGATTCTATTAAAGACTAAAAACGTTAGCCTTACCTGTACACTCTATCGCTCATATTTGTAATCCTACATTCTGTGACTCCGAACAATCATGTAGTTTAGTTTATATGTTGAGCTAGAGTAGTCCTTGTAGTATCTAGCTGAAATGTAGCTTAGTCTTTTCTACTTCTTCAATAGCTACATAAGGGATAACGAAACTTTGACCACTTTTTCACGTTAGATTTCTCGAATCGTAGATTACAGTCGCGTAAATTTGAAAGGTTTGTACGTCAAGATTGGTGGCTTTGCAAAAATTATGCGAAAATAGGATATTGTTTATATACGCATATACATATTCCGCGCCAGACTGACAACACATATTATTTCTATATTAGTGTGTAGTGATCTATTTCCAGAGTGTAATTGTGGGCAAAATGGTAACGGCGACAATCTACTACCAAGCCAAAAACATCATTCTTTTTGCTCACCAGTACCCGGCGATGTTGTAACAACTTCATATCATTCACAAACGTAAAACGTAAACGATGCAAATTACTAAATTGAACTGTTTATAGTTCCACTAGGGTACTGGTTTGTTTTGTATTTAATAATGTTGATATTGTTTGCTTTTCTGATATAATTGCATGTTATTGAGCGACAGCCATCGACATCATAATAAAGCAATAAATTACGAAACAACATCTCAACATATGCAGTGTGTAAATCTACGTAAATGTATTCACTGCACAGTCTAGTAAACAATGAAGCGCGTCGAGTGCGTCGTAATAACCTTTCTACAAATTATTTAAAACAATGTATGGCCGCCAATGTTGACCTGATAATTTACTAATGATGACCAATAACTTTATACTTAATGCAGATACTCATTTTTTTACTTTTTCGAGTATGTTTAAGAATGAAGTTAGAATACAAGTAGCCAAGAAAACGAATTCATTTTTAATATGGGATGATATTTATTTTTTAACTATTTGTATATTGCTATTAAGTGAAACAAAACGGATGGAATCGTAGATTTAGTTTACATATGTAGTAAATTATTTTTATTTATTTGTCAGCCGTTAAGTTAGAATTAACTTTTGTTTTAAATTTATAGATGTATTTGTTTCAAGATGATTTGTTTCACATTCAAGATATTCGAAGGAACACTAAAACGCGGAATGAATATATGTAATGGCGACCTTGAATTTTATCTGCTAATTAACATTTAATTCCTAAAAGCATATAGAAGTATTTACATATGTGTTATTTATTGCAAGAAGGAGTTAGTAAGAGTTAAGACGGCAAACGAGAAGAGTTGAATTTCATATGTTCTTCGATGCTCTTAAGAATCTTGTCATTCCTATGTAAACTTAATAAAACATTAATTTTTATTCATGCCTTGTATGAACAATATAAATCACCTTGCGGAGAAAATCTTGTATGTAAATATTATTTGTTTATGTCACGTTTAATTAGTTACTGACATGATTCGCCGTTTTATTGATATTTATCGCATTTGTTCAAGGTGTTCGCAACATAATGTGCAGCTTGAATTCAATTGGCGTCATAATATAAATGTTTTATTATATTTTTGTGCGCGTGAATTCAAGCTCGACCATTAATCGACGAAACCTTGTTATGTTTTCCCTGACCAGCGTCCATTGACGTTTTTGCAAACTCTGCAAAAGGTGCGATAAAATATGTTTGTGTTGGCAGAAGGTGCGCGAATGTTAAGCCGTGAACATTGCATTTGATATCAGACTGCTGATCAACATTGCTCTACATAGTTTTCGAAAAGACATAAATTAAAAATTGTACACAAGATCACCGTGCGTGGTCCGACCTGTGGAATTAACGTATGTAACACCTTACTTTCATAATTGCGGCGTCTCGCGCACTCAAAGCGCATAACAAACGAAAACGTGTTGCGAAATTTAAATACATACATTAAAAGATTTTCGATCTTTCGGACAGCCACACCAGTGGCTTTACATAACGATTTTAAGGCGCTTTTATGTCACCATGTGATACGCGCGAGTTGTTGACAAAGCACTTTGCTCTTGCAATCGTCAAAGCCAATCGTATATTTCATTCGCGAGCGGGTGATCGTCTGATTGTTTTTTTTTACAGACTTATTAGTCTCGTGCGTCTGTCCTCGCGAGTGCAAAAGGCGCTGTAGGCTTAGCGTTCGCTGAGTGGAAAGTTCAATTCTTTTCGTACGCGAAGTGCAATCTCAGGCCTTGTTTACAGATAGCGAGTGTGTCGTCATTCAGTTGCAGTGCGAATGCAGTGCATGAGCTCTGCTCACTCTGGTAAGCACAAAATTCCTTGATTCTTTCATTGTACAAATGTATTTACTATTCTGAATCAAACAGTAAATAAGCTAATATCAATATTAATATTTGGACAATTTTATGGCAGTCTAACTTGAGCGATTTGAGCAAGTTTGCTCAACATTCACTTAATTAATGTTTAGCAAGAAAGTCACATACGCGTTGCGTGCAACAAATTTAAATATTTTCCTGTCATTATAATCAAGATAACGTCATATTCGACGCTTGCAACAGAAATTAAATTGTTCCCATATTTTTTTACTTTGTTTTTACACTTGAGTGCTATTTTTACCCAATTCTTTCATGGCCGACAGGGACGGTTTGATTTTGCAATTGTATTCGCGAGCGCGAGCACCCAATCGCGACTATTACGGCCTTACCATTTCCAACGAAAACGTAAGTGTAAAATGAATGGAAGTTATTGGAGCAGATAGTATAACAGGTATCATTTCTAGGTGGTACTAAACATATGGAATATCACGCACGGGCCGCACGTATTTCCGAAGAAACAAACGTGTTCGTTAGAGGATCTTCAGATAGCAAAGACGCTCGTGAGTGAAATTCATCGTCTCTTCGGTGCACACGTTGCGGATTATTGTCTTGCACTGGGACGTGGAGATGCGCGCCTTCATTGTTTGCCGACGAAAATATTCTTGAAGATTTTACGTTATTTGTCCGGAAACGATATTCTGAATTTAGGACAAACGTCAAAAATATTTTTTGAGGTATGTGTAATAAGTTGGCATTATGGCCATGGCGTATACTAATTTTTTAAACAAATCTACTTTTACTGTTTATTTAGCTCTGTAATCGCAATGATGTCTGGGGAGTAATCTTCAATAAACGTAACAAAGGCAAAGTGTCACGCGACGAAGTGAAAGCAGCCAACCAGAAAGGTTGGAAGGTTGTACTGAGGAATAAACTTGTTTGGAATGACGGTGTAACTCGCAATCAAAATCAAAAACAATCTACAATAAAATCAAAAACGGATGTTCCTAAATCGACCGTGACTGCGCCTGAAACTACATTGAAGAAACCGGAAGTGAAGGCAAAAGTTGTACCTCAAAAATCCATTAAAGTCCAAAATATATCGAAAGGTGGTTCTTCAGAAACTGCACACGATGTTAAACCAAAAATAATTAATGTTACGAACAAATTGAATGAAATCATTGATATTGATAAAGATGACTTGCCAACTATACCAACGATAGAACCAAAAGGAATTCTTAAGAAAACCGGTAAACCTTTGATTTCCAAAACAACAGCCAAGTTATTAAACTTTTCGGAAAAATTAGAAAAAATACCAGAGTCAAATTTATTGACAACAGTAGAATATAAACCCACCACAACTGACGAGCTTAATTCGATTAGTGGGAAAACTACAAAACTATCTCTTAATTCTTTGTTAAATGGGTTTGTAACGAAAGACATAAAGAGACATGAAAAGGATGCAAAAGATAGACATTTAGATAGATTTCTTGCCGAATTAGACGAAAAAATTGCGAAGAATCCATTTAATTTAGACAAAGAGGTAAAAGACGTTTCTCACAATTTACCAAAAGAAATTGGGGCAACTGTACAACCCCCAAAATATACGAAGGAAGCAAAAATCAATAAAGCATTTGCAAAACTTGAAAGTCAGCCAAAAATATCAGACATTTGTGCAAGTATCTCCTCTTCAAATGAACAAATATCGTCCACTAAGAAGATGACATCGAAGATTGAAAATAATTCCTCACCGTTTAAAGGAAAATCTGTTCATGCGGCAGCTGAATTATCTAAGAAACCACCACCATCAAAAATGGCTAAAACAGCCTTGATTCCAAACATTAGTGAACTAACGCGTTCCATCAATCAAATCCGAGGCAGTTTTTATAATAGTGACAAGCTCAAAATAAAGATCGGTACAAATTTAAACAATTCTAAAGTGGCTAATCGAAATGGCTGTTCGCAACAGCTCAACAACAAATTGAACAATATTGTTCCTTCATCCGCGAGCACTCCAGCATTGGAATTGAAGAAAAACGCGTTGAAATTACACGTTAAATCCGCCATAAGTAACTCAGCATTAACAAAAGTGAAAAATACTAATTGTTCGGCAAACATTCAACATACAGTGAAACCTAAAAGTGCGCTGACGACGAAAAGGACAAACGTGAATGTAAGAAATAAATAAATTGGTGATGATTGTGTAATATATACTACTACTACTAATAATAATTATACAAAATAACGGATTAGCAGGTATGGCTGCAGAGTTTAAAACTAAATAAATATTTGAAATTGAAATGAGTTTGTTCAACTTTGTGGTACATTTATATGCTGATTAAGTTAAATATCATAAACTTTCAAACTTTGGTTGCGCGTCGAAGTCCTAAAAAGTGAAAGAATATTACTAAATGTTCAATCAACAAATTAGGTACTAAAATTTTAGAATGTGTCAGCGAGTAATATGTAATTCGAAATAGTGAAAGAAAGTGTATTTGAACAAAATGGCAATTCTGCTATTATTTTGGATTAATTTGGATTTCACACTACGGAAGTATATTTTATTTTTCATTCACAGTTTGGCTGTGTTTTTATTCAAAAAATTGAAAAGATTGACAAAGTAAGCATTTTTGAAACTCGTGGTTTCTATCTGTTGGTTTAGAAGGCTAAGAAATTATATATTGTAGAAGCCCAACTGATTTTAATTGAATTGAGTATTATGTAAATATTAACTTTTTCCCTCAATGCCATCTATTATCACGCTCATTCGTATTTAAATTATAATTTGCGTTACAAGTTTTTGCAGCTGTATGGTTTTGTAAATCAATATTTACATACGCAGTGGCATGCTAGAAAATTTCGTTTGTTTAGAGCGGAAGAATGAAGCCTACAAAACGTAACTATGTAACATGATTTATTAAGTGAATTAAACACATAATAATAACAACAGGAAATTTGGCAGCGATATTACAGACGTGTGCCTATATGTTTGATTGGGGTGTTTCTCCCCTTATAAATACGGCGCTACTAGGAACAGAGTCAACAAGATACCTGTGCGGCTGCAGTGTGGAGAGTGGAGTGCGATGATGATATTATTACCTCTGCACAGACCACTTCGTTATGGGATACGATTGATTTGTAGTTGTATCTTGGTTGTACAGGGCAACCGATGCTGAAATTCATACTGAGGGGTACATTTTCATATGTTGTTCAAAATGATTGACACATCAAATAAACTCTATCTCGCATTTTTAGCACGCAAAACTGAGCATTTTGACCTATTTAGTGGCGCAAAAATAGAGTAAGAATTGAAATAATCTGGAACATTCTGTAGATCGGTTATCCCCAATCGGAAATGTACTTGGAGCGCAAAATTGATGAAAATGCGCATGCACAACACGCCGTCGGGCATTCGGCGAATGCGTTCTTCTTTGTGGTGCGCTCTCTCAGCGCTCCTTCGCGCCGTCCTGCTGCTCGCTCGCGGCTGCCATCCATTAGCGCACCTGGTTACAAGTTACAAGCTAATTTACCTTCGATCCTGACGCGCGCGCGTGTCCTGCATCTCGTAATTACCCCGTTCGGATGACGCGAATAGATTTTAACTGAAACGTGAACATGTGCGGAGTAAAATCTTAAATTTGATGCCGGGGATAAAGATGGAAGTTTTTCGTGGCGTCCTGCGAGTGCGTACCAAAGTGTCGAGTGGAAAGTTTCGCAATACAATGGAGCTAACTTAGACAGCGTTTTAGTGTGTTTAATTCAGAGACATATTTCTTGCCCACAAGGACTGTGTGAAGGGCACGATGTCGCATATTAAACGGGGTTCGACCAGGTATTCGGAGTAAGTGAATTCTTCCTCAAGCGCATCAAATTTCCTGTCAAAAATGGCAATGTCACATCCTCGTACCCTCACATATGTGTAAATCAAGTGCTCTAATTATTTGCCCTTTAACGAGATTATCTTTATCACATTAACTTCTTCTTGCCTCATAAAAAATTAAAATCGATCTTAGTTTTTATCCAGTCATAGACAATATGAAATGACAATTGCAATGCAATGCAAACAAGCTCATTACAATCATTAGTCCATGCCCATAACAGTACTTTTATTTATTTATTTCTTAACGGTATTCTTAGCAGTGACCGCAGTTAGTAAATTGCAAAGTGCAGTATAATGTTCGTGCCGCGCATGTTGACGTTTTTACCGTCTACTACCACCTTGATTTCTCATTCATTGTAACTATGCTAGTGTTTAATTAGTTTATTTGCTTTGCGCTTGCGGTTCTAGTCAGTAATACTCATAACCGCTTCAACTATTATTTAATGCGAATATGTGAATGCAAATCAGGCTCATTACAATGCAATATTATGCAAACAAGTTGCGTGACCGTTATTACTGTGCATCGTGCATGGGCGTTCATTTCTTCGTCATTGCTGACCGTTATCACTTGCATTTTCTTCTTTGCTGCTGAACACCTTTAACATGACCATGACCTTGACCAATCGTTGTTCTAGTGATATTCTGGATAATGATTCTGATGATAAAGATTCGAAAAGGTAATTTTATTTTGATGTCATATTATTCGATGTCGTAACTTTTTAATATTACAAATTTAATTTAATTTGGTTTTGTATTTTGTAGGAAATCGCGGAATTTAAGTGAAAAAAAGCGCAGAGATCAGTTTAATCTGCTCGTCAATGAGTTAAGTGTTATGGTGTCAACTGGATCAAGAAAAATGGACAAATCGACCGTACTCAAAGCAACTATTGCTTTTCTTAAGAATCACAACGGTTTGTTTGAATATGCATTAACATTCTATTAGTTATAACTATTTCCAGATGTTTTAGAAGTAGCGGTGAGATCTCGAATTCATGAAATTCAAGAAGATTGGAAGCCTACATTTTTGTCGAACGAAGAATTTACTCATCTTATCCTGGAAGCTGTTGATGGTTTTATACTAGTCTTCAGCACAACAGGTCAAATATTCTACGCTTCAGAGAATATGACTTCTCTGTTGGGACACTTGCCAGTAATTTGCTGTAATAAATAATGTTTGATCGGTGCTTTAATTGATTTATACTTGGTTTGTTTAAGAATGATGTTCTGGGGATGACAATTTACGAATTGACCAGTGAGGAAGAACAAAATGATTTATACAACATTTTATTACGAGGACCAAACAACGATGAAGGACAGTTGTCTTTTTCGTGTCATTTACGGCGAGGCACGTCGGATGCATTGCAAACGCCAGACTACGAATTAGTGCATTTTGCAGGATATTTTAGTAAGTTTTATTTTAATATTTATAAAAACTCTAAAACATTTAATGTTTTTAGGGTCAGATTCAGATACAATTCAAACTGATAGTTCTAAATATTCAGGATACTCAGAAACAGAACCAGAAGCAAGGTAATTGATGAATAAAATTTAAAAAATGCAGAATAGTAATTATAATATTATTGTGGTCACAGATTATTATTTGTTGGGACTGGTCGTCTGCAAACCCCACAGCTAATACGAGAAATGCCCTTGGTAGAGTCTTACAAAAGCGAATTTACCTCACGACACAGTCTTGAGTGGAAATTTCTATTTCTCGACCATAGAGCTCCTCCCATCATTGGGTATTTGCCCTTTGAGTTGCTAGGTACCTCTGGCTATGACTATTATCATATTGATGACCTGGAACGTGTACTTGATTGTCACGAAGCTCTTATGAAAAAAGGCGAAGGGACATCTTGCTACTATCGTTTCTTAACGAAAGGTCAACAGTGGATCTGGTTGCAGACACGATTTTATATTACGTATCATCAGTGGAATAGCAAACCTGAATTTGTAGTGTGCACTCATCGACTTATAAAGTAATCTGATACATTAATTAAATTTCAAAGATTGTTAACCTTCTTTTTGTAGCTACGTGGACGTAATGCGACAAGGCATGAAAGAGGAAAGTATTGAGTTTATGGGTGAATCGGTAGATAACAATTCTTCTGTGCCATGGAGTTCACGCAGTAGGATGGAGCCGCCATCTTCAGATTGTACTTCAATGTCAGCAGACTCGCCAACGTCTAGACATTCAGTCATGACTCAACATTCAATGGCAAGATCAAGTTAATAGTTTAATTGATTTGCATGCTTAATAATTGCTTTGTAGAAGTCGAAAGCTAGTGTTAAAAGCAAAAATCTCCCTACGCAATCGTCGCAAATGGCGCTGACGACATTTTTGGAGCCTCCTCAATACGTGGCAGCCATTCCGGTGCAACCTGTTCTTGCAGGTATACCACCCCCTGCTGTGTTATCACCACATCCGGTATGTGATTTGTTAAGAAGTGAAAGTGATTCGTAATAAAACCATTTTTTATAGTCACAAGTTGATTGGCAACGGAAACACGCCGAACTGCAAGCTATTATTGGTCAACAACAAGCTGAGCTGCGACGAGTCTCAGAACAATTACTAATTGCCCGGCATGGAATAATACCCGCGCATGCAGTGCATTCGCAAGCTAATGTAAGAAATTGTGTACAATACATTCTACATAGAGATTTAATAGCTTTTTACTTATTATATACTGAATATTGTAGGACTCATCTCCATATAATTCTGGAGCTGTTAGCAGCACTACAATGCTGACAGGTTTAGCTGGCGGAGTTGTAACCGGCGCCCCTTCGGTTATTGTTCCAGCCGTAACCATGCCAATTACAATACCTATCAGCCAAACCGCCATTACACCTATGGGCGGGGGTTATACGAACACAACGACAACTACGCCAGAACAATAATAATCTCTACAATGGTCAAGCAACCAAATATTACGACAAATTATCATGTGATAATAAATACAAGCTAGGTTCTAGAAGCTAGATGTGTCTATATCTTAATGTAAATATGTATTTCAATTGTTCTCGTTTTAATTTTCTTCTTGGAAATGATGTGATGTATTGTAACGCGATGCTAATTTCAAACCAAATTGATCAAAAAAACAAAAGACCAATAAAAAGTTAGGAAAAATTTATTGTGATCACGTTTTGATGATTGGATGTAATCCAGATTTGACAAGCGTTGTTTATAATTTACGCAGGGCATCTTGCAAAATGCTCATTTCTTGATTCAGATTCGTGATCATAGCGTAGAGTTGCTCCTTGGAATCCAAAACTTCAATGTTCTGCGTGTAAGCATTATAGCGGACTGCAAATGGCCTTGGAATTGTTGCCGCAAATTTACTACAATAATAAAATGTATGTACAGTTATATAATATAGTTACACGATAATATTAACACTTACATCATTTTATTTTTCGCGTCTTCGAAACTCTCAGCAACGAAATAAACTGGTTGATATTCTGTGATTGGATATTTCTGTATAGCCGTTGTGGCGGGATCAAATGGCCTCACTTCCGGTTTATCAGACAGGCAGTACTGTAACTCGCCGAAAGACGAAAGTAGACCAGCTCCAAAAGCCTTCAATGCACCATCTTCACGACACAAACCAAACTCCACAGTGAACCAGAAGCACTAAATCATCCAAATATAAGTAAGAATGTTTAAATTGTTAACTAGCATAAGTTTGATACTCTACCGTTGCAAGTTTCTCAATAAAATCATCTGGGGCACCAAGCGACGCTAATCCAATCTCTTGGGAAAACCGTGCAAACTCTGGATCTGCAAAGAGTGGCACGTGACCAAGGACTTCATGACATACATCCGGTTCCGGAGTGTAGAGTGGGCGACTCGAATGACGAATATACTGCGTACTGTGGAAAACTCTAAACGCCAGACCAGCCAAAAAGTCACGAGATGACAATAAACCAGCAACTGGTCTGAGTGTGAATCCAGTGCAATCTATATACAAGCAAGGTTGGTAAGATTTAATAGTTACAAATTGCAATAATATTTCTTTACCTTTTAAAAAGTTAGAGATGTCTTCAAGTTGTGGAATGTTATCAGCGCGATAACCACAGTTTTCCACCAAAAGTGGAAACACGTGCTTGTGCTCCTTACAGGCATGAGTTGGATACAGTTTAGTTAATTGATTGAAAACTTGTCCCCAAGTTTCAATTTCTTCCTTGCTATATTCCACTCGCGGCAGCGGCTGCCCGTGTTTGTAGTTGTATGCAATATCAGCGAAATATTTTCGGCGTGCACGATAAGCTGGATCTGTAAATCCCGGGTGATCCGAGTCCAGTTCTGCACCGTACGATAAAATTTGGTTTGCAAAGCGATCCAAATCCTTGATGTTACTTGGAAACCATGGGACTGAATCTAATTAATACGAAAGTAGAAATTAATAGCTGTTGATTTTCTAACTTGTTTCATCATTACCTTTATTGTCAGTGTGATTACGTGAAATTATGTTGAAATATTCACTGTTCTTTTTGATTTCATCAATGGCGGCTTGTAAATTTTTTGCATCATCCGTATCGCACTCTACAACGAATTGATACTTGCCCGGAAATCTTTTAGATGGCCGAGACTCAATATACAATAAATTTATTTTGTGACTTTCAAAGATTTTTAAACTGCGAGCCAATGCACCGACCTCTTCTGCATACGGTGAAAAAATCATAAAAGTACTCTTTGAAGAGTTGGACGGTTTGATGTATTGCCCACCGGGCATAAGTGTGGGCTAAAAATGAAATAATAACATATAATAATATTCAAATATTCTTACTATTAATTCTTACAACTTACATCAATAGTTTTCATCATTTTAATTTAAAAGCAAGTTAAATAAATAATACTACAATGACTGATCTGAACTGATCCACCTTAAGATCTTATTTGAGACGTGACATTGACGGCCGCGAATATATAAGTTCCGAACTATGCAATTATATCCCCAACTTATAATGAACTATTAACTGTAGAATTAAAAGTTATATCAAATAATTGACCTAGTTAAGTACCCACCGATGTTTTCGCAAAGTTTGGTAATCTAAATTTTTGTCTAATCTAATAATACAAACAATAATCGCTCACCCCGTTGACGTCTTTGTTTGTTTGCGCATGCTGTGGTCCCATCATCTTGAATTTCCCAAAAATGATTTCACTCGATGATGAAACAATCTCTGGAACACTGAATAAAAATGACCGCAATGATCGTTTTTAACCATCTGACTAAATCTATATTAATATTTTAATCAACTCATAGCTCTTACAAAGAGGGGTCAATTTACTATCGCCACCCATGTGGAAGTTGCGCAATTTCATGGAAATCATGCGACTTGCCAGATTCAATTTGCGCTAACTTCAATCAGAGAAAACAGATGATAATACTTCGTTGTGTGTGTCATAATAAACGATGACCCATGCTAAAGTTAGCATTATTGTGATAAGATATGAGTATTTTTGTTGTCGTATTGATAGTTATTTATTTAATCTTCATTTAGCTTTATTAATGTGACATGTGTTTATAGAGTATTAATCAACTCCAGTTAGTTAAGTTAGTTAGTTAATATTTAAAGTTACTTGTCATGTTGTTGAGAATTTCATTTGTAATTTATTAATGTTTACTCACTATAACTTTTTTAATTGATTTTTTTTGTACTTACGTGTTACTTGTTCTATTAAAGTTTAAAAAATATCAACACATTTCAATCGTCACAGAAATACTGTAATTGCGCGTAATTATAACTAAGTCTACAGCACAAATGCGCAAATACCAAGATGATTATTATTTCTGCGCTCAATCGATCAATGCGCAGCAGATCTAAATTGAAAACAAAATCATATTACTCGTAATTCAAGTCTCCATGTTCCTTGCACCTTGCAAGTGCAAGACGCATTTTACATTAAGTAAAAAAACAAGAAACTGGTTTATCAACATTTTTCCCAAGTCTAAAATTACTCCATATATCTACTTAGTAGTGTTGGTAAACTTTAATCATAACAAGTCAACATCTAAGTATGTAGACATGAGTGAAGATAAATAAAGTAGCTTGTTTAACCAATCGCATCGCTTTTTAAGACAGTGAAGAAACTGTACGCAATACGTGACATCTGCAACAATTCCAAATGAACACAGAGCGTTAGAAAATAATTCAAATGCACACAGATAAAAATGTTGTGAAGGTCAGCGGCGTAAACTTTCCAATAGTCATGTAAATCGGACGCTGCATGCGAATCATTGTGATAAGCATCGATTTTTTAAAACCCGCATTGCTTGATAGCCAATCCCCATCGTAGATACTTGTTGTTATGGCATTACTCTAAAAGTTTATCATTTTAGATGAATACGAGTCGGTATTTTGATAAATATACTAACACTTTCGGTAATTGAGTTTCCAAACCAGCAATACATCAATAACTCAAAGCTAGTTGATATTAAATATGTTAATTCTGCCCCCATGCTTGCATCTAACGACTATAAACAATCAAACATTAATTTACGTTGTAATTAATTATAAATTATTAATATCTTACGCCTGAAAGCAGGTACAAACAGAAACACATCTCAAATAATGAAATCATGGTTTGGAAACATGTTTGAATGTTGTAAATATCTTCAACTTTACTTGATACCCTAAAATTTTATATAATACAATGCCAATTGCAATGGCACCTGATGCAACTTACAATAAAAGCATGTCAAGATGTTTAACACATTTTTTCATTTCCTTCTGCATTTCTTCTTCGAGTTCAGGTGTGTCATGCAAATGTTCTTTTATTGGCATTTGCAAACGCTCCATACATCTAGGACGGATTGTTTTAATGGCTTGCGAAAGAATATCCAAATGTGCACTTATACAACTCACTAAACTCGTAAACATTCCATCTAAACCTGCGGCAATTTATGGTTATTCAATTGTTGTAAACATTTAATTGAATTCTTTACCAACAATCATCCACGCATGTATATCTAATGCAATAATCTCAAAAATAAAGTGAAACATAAATCCAGTTCTGGTGTGTTGCGAAAACGGTGTAATCAAAAGCACAGCTAAAGGTTGATCGTAAATTTTATTTCCGTCCTCGTCAATACGATATTGTTGCCCTGCTTCGAATATAAATATGTATACAATCATCAAAGTCATATTGAAGCAAATCGAATTAACAAAGCCTAAGAATAGCAGCATCCAGCGATCCGCTTCTTTCTTGTTTTTCAAAACAATGGCGTCTACATCGAAGTAATTTTCCACCTGTTCGTAGTTATACTTTGGATCTTGCATTGTTTTTATTAGACCTAGAATAGTTTTTCGATGACGAAACCATACGTACATTTTATAAATGCAACTGAAATGGTTGAATTGATCTCGGAGACTTCGTAGAAAGGTGTCTAGATCAGGAGCCGCAAACATTACGGACGTTTCAGCTGGCTGATATAAAGAAAGATATGATAATATAAGAAAACTGTAGCCATAGCGAAAAAATTTGCGCCAAAATGATTCGTGGTCCAGGGGAAGCCATAAACCACACGTTTTAAAAATCCATATGTTCTTATTAAAGTATTTTTCAAAAGGCTGGTATACAACTACTTGCGACTCCATTTTGTGGTGTCAACATTCAACAAACAAATCGAGCTAAGCCATGTTTGAGATTTTATAAACTTTTGACTGAGATTTGGGCATTCGCTATTCATGTAAAGCAAGGTTTAGTATAGAAACTAATTGCAGTTTATAGACTATAATTTGAAACGATGTAAATTCGAAATGGTGAAGAAATGTGGAAATCACCGTTATTACATAGGTATAAGGTGTTACTACAAGATAAATGGTAATGTCAGGATGATGAAACATAAACTAGATATTATTCTATACATATAACCAGGTGTTTGTATTTTATTTATTTTTATTAAGAAAAGAAATTGTTTAACAATGTTGCACATTTGATAAATTATTTTGTTACGCACTACATTTCAGAAAAGTTGCTTTAATATTAACACAACAAATGTTTGAAGCACATAAATAGATAATTTGAAATACCAATAGAGTATAGGTATAGGTATTTCTAGGAATTTGAATATTTGATATTGATACACATATGCACGTATATTGACATAAATAATAAGTTAAGCGTGTCTCTTTCCTCCCATTTAGCACCGCCACACCAACCGAATTACAGTTATTTACTTTGTTTCAAGAAAGTGAAATATGAATACGATCCTTTCACGATCTGCAATTGTTCATACATAATAATTTTATGAATCTAGAATAGAAGACAAATCAAATGCATACCGATACAAATGTAGATAAAGTCAAAACGGCAAATTTTCCTGTTGTGAATTGAATTGGAACTTGCAGACGCAACATATTTATGAGCATCGTTCGTTTTTCACCTTGCGAAAAATAATACCATTTTGATTCGTATATTCCACCAGCCACAGCACCGCTCTAAACAAATTATTATTTAGTTTTAATATAAGTGTAGTATGAACACTCATATCTCAAATCTCGTTAGACCACTTACAGATTCAGTCATTTCGTTGCCAAAGACGCAATAAACGAATAGTTGTATCATGCCAGCTCCTACATACTCTGCTTCAGCAATAAAGACTGGACTCATAAAGGGTTCCTAGGATATGTAAAACAATAACTTATTAAAGATATAATTTTGTGTTGACTTCACGTTACATACTTCCGAAATCATGTATAAACAGGACACTATTAAAAACATTGATGTCAAGGTTTGGCAAAGTGTTAAAACGTTAACTACATCCTCAAATGTATTGCACACACTAAAATAGCAAAGAGTATGAAGTAACAAACGCTTATAGTGTGGAGTAGTTTACTCAATCATAGTTTGAAGATGTATAGTCATCCGCCTCATTTCCAACTTGATTTCTCTCTGCAATGCAGGATTCTCCTCGACATGCAAAACATCGTAATCTTCAGGCAATCCTAGTCTAGCTGTACACCTTTCTGTAACAGTTAGAAAGGCTCCTCGTAAGTTTACAAAATGTCCCCGAAAAGCGATACAGTAGCATCCAAAAGCACAATCTCCGCCTGAAATATACTGGCATAAAAATGTCCACACACCAACTTCCCTGATTTATTTTAAACTTACTGATAACTGAGTAGACATACCAAATCATTGGAATAGTTTGCAACAAAAACGCTAATTGACATCTTCGTGTAGTTTCAATATAAAATGGGAAATAGCTAAAATATGGTAACATATCTTGACACGTGTAATTTCCAGCGTCAACCATATCTCCTTCGTGGATAAACTTCAATAAACTATCAAACTGTTTACTGACCGGTACCAGAGTTCCAATCCAGAAAAACATAATACAAATATAATTCGAATACTTTCTGCATTGCGCCATTGTTTCTCCAGGTTTGTAATCGCCACTATCTTCATACTTGAACTCTTCTCGATCTAGAATATCAATAACTCCACGCAATTTCTTATAATTATAGAATATAATGTAGTATTTAATAACACCCATCATGTGCGTCGCAATCATGCCCACATGTTCAACCAGCAGATTCAAATCTCTCATTGTATAAGGAATCATAGCAAACTCAGCAGGTTGGTACAAGCAGTGAAGTAAAACAATCATTGATATATTGAAAAGCCACCAGAAGATTTTCGCGTACCAGCGGTCTGTTTTTTCAGGGTGGTAAAGTCCACCCATTTTGAAAATAACAAACATGCCATCGAAGAACTTTTTTGGGTATTTATCAGAACGAGCAACTTGTATAACTTCCGCAGTCATTTTTGGATGCGGAAATTTGTAACAGAAGGAAACGGTTCACAACAAAATATTCCAAGATAAAAGTGCGAAAGAAAAGCAAGTGAAGATGCTTATAATACTTTCGATTTCTAATTATTTATTAGAATGTGTTATTCATAAAAGCATTAGCTGTGATAAATATTGTGGAAATCACAAAGCACAAGCAATATTCATATGTATGCATCAATATTCAATTGGACACCTTATTAATTTTTCTGGATCAAAGCTTTAACAGAATGACTAATATATGTTGTCTAGAATCCTTGGAGTGCATTTAGTAAACACATAATTCAACTAAAGCTAGGCATTTGTTGTAGACAATCCAAAACACATGGAATAGAGATAAACATTTTGAACTGTAAATTAAGATCACAATAAATATTTAGATACCATAAGTAATAATTATATATTTTGTAATTTGTACTTTTCTCATATAAAAACAATCGAAAGCACATAACAAAAATCAATCAATATTAATCATATATACATCAACAATGATATGCAAACATTTAACAAATAACATCCTGTAAGAATAATCATCTTCGCACATGCATACACATTCATACCTCCTATCACTTAATCACAGCAGTAATACACTTCTCAATATGTCTTACACCGTGCGTCAGCCTAATAAGGAAGCGCTCAATTTACATTTGTACTCAATAAACAGTAGATACTATTCGTAAACATACGAACTATAATCTATACGCGCAGAATTAATAAATTAACTTATCCAGCGCGTACAAATGAATTAAAAAATACATGTGCTTTTGTCAAAGAAATACAATAAAAGCACATGCTTCTTAATTGAAAGTATTTCTATGTCTAACATGTTCAAATGAACATACATACTGTTATTTATGCAGATCAACTTTGCAAAACAATCGCTATTCTGTGTGCGAGAGAAATTGTTATAAATAACATAAAAATGGTTCATAAGCAATTTTACAACAATTTGATTGCTTGCAGCTACTTATCTGCTTGTTAACTTATTGTGTTCTCTCTTTTATAGAGAAGTTATTACAGTATAGTTTTTATACAAAGTTATCAGTTGAGATAATATGGCATGTCACGTTAAACACAGCAAGTTGTGTCCAACGAAAGTACTTTACCTAAATCCATCATTTAATTATGTCCAATCACAGTTACGTTTCTCTTTGCTTTGAAGTTATCAAAATAGTTAACTCACTGTATGTTCATTATTCATTTACATTGGCAAAAGTATTGTGCAATAATTACTTAATATTGAAGTCAGCCTTTCGTTCTATTCTACAACATAACAAAAACGGTAATAAATGAAAGAAGTGTTATAGACAAAAGGTAAGAACCAAAAATTGTAATTTTTAAAATATGGGTGGGTGGAATTAAATTTAGACGTTATTTTTCTTGTGATGCTTCTTCAATTGAAGTTTGAGCGACTTTCAACTGGTTGTTGTGTTCACTGAATTCGTGATGTAGGTGTACAGTCGTTTGCCCCACCATGATTCCAAATCGAATGGTTTGAAGTCTGATAGATTTACTTGATCATCTTCATAGTAATACACTGAATTATCGCCTAAAAAATAACATTCCACGATTAGATAAAAATATAACAATGTTTTAAACTCACGACTGATTATTACGTGAAAACATTAAAAATACTCTACTATTTTTGAATGTCACAGGACGATAATAATTATCATAAGACTATGACTCAATTTTTTGGAATTCAGCCAAAATAAACAACTTTTTGAAATAAATACATACTGCGAGGGCTTGAGCTGCCATCGGAAGAATTCGCGTGAAGATCTAGCTCTGAACAAACACAATTCCATGCTAAAACAAAGAATTTATCAATTAACAACCAATTTTTCTCTTTACAATGCAATAACATACAATTGCTAACATAATTTACAATTTCTTCATGCTGCGGCGTCACAACTTGCTGTTCGTCATAGTCGTGATGATGGTGGTACCCATTCTGATGCAATTTCTTATTTACATTTTGAAACACTGGTTTAGGTCCCCTGTAATACCACAATACTTTACAATTATCAGTGGATAACACCTCTAGCTATAACTTACTTTACCATAATTTCTTCATTGTTGTTATTAAGGACGTTGTCGTTGTTATTATTGACGATGTGTCCGTTACTATTTGATTTCTTGTTTTTTACTTCAATATTTTGTACCAGTCCTATAAAAACAAATAAGTACCAATATTAAAATGATACCATAATAACTCTATAATAATAAATAATGTATGTAACATGTAAAACCAACTCAAGCAACTAAAGTAATTTAGTTTGCATGCAACAATGATAATAACAATGCAAATTTTAGAACAATTCAATGACAATTTTGAAAAGCCAGTATTACACAATGAAATCATTTACTTCAAATTGGAAATATTTAAAAATTTCTCTATAAATGATGCTTTTTCAAACTTACCCCTTCGCGTTTTTGCTACAATTTTGCTTGGTCCTTTAACGTTATACATTTTGATCAACAAAATGGTACACCGACAATGATTACACAATGAATAACTTGCAAGACTATGGAGCTGAACAGTATTGCGGATTTGCACAGCTTCCAAACAAAAATTTACGAATGTTTTGCTGTTGTGTAATCATTTAACTCGGCGCACTGTTCAGTCGGCACCATGGATTACCGCACACACATGTGGACTGACATTTCGAACGTCACGAGAACGCGGAGAGAACAGAAATGCGGCTCGCATTCGAATATGTGCTCTGTCTTGACTGTCGCTCCTGACGACACTGTCTATAATCTACATTTCATTTTAGTTTGCCGAGTAGCAACTAGACCAACGCATTGAGCGTTTACAACCAGATATTGGTTGGGAAAGCATGTGACGGGTATTACAGGCGTGACCGGCAACGTCGTTTTGGAATCGAAACCGAAGTTTGGTAAAACAGGATGGAATGTTATCAAATAGATAACAAGGAATTTACAAGGGCAAACAGAAAGGACAAAATAATTCAGAAGTTTGAATGCATGTATCGGATTTTAAAATATTTGCATAAACAGTTAATTTTGAAATGGGTACCATTTTTGGTACAGTATCATTTGGTCACTTTTCTAACCTATAAAACATGAAAAGAAATCTGTCTTTTAATTTTTATAGGATTTCTAAAGAAACTAAGATGTTATACTTATCCCAAAGGTTTTTACAATGTTTTACATTACAATTGGAACTTATTCAATTATTAGTTAAAAATATTATATATTATAAATTTGAAAGTTTGGGAACATTTACTCTAGATTTATAGCAAATAACGTAGAGTATTATTCTGTATATTTAACAATCATTTTAGATAAAAATACAGATTTTAATTATTTTAAAATTGTAATCAGCAAACAAAGAATTCAATGTTAATCATTCGATAATTTTACTGGATCCGTAAAGTATCCATGATCCGGTCCCCACCAAATTTTCAAAACGTCCAACTACAAACAGCTGCGCCTGTTGTGACGTGTCGCCCGTGTTTGTTTTGATCGGTCGCCAAGCCGGCAAACTTTTGTCAATTATTTGAAACAAAAACTGAGTTGCTCTTTAAAGAAAATCAGAGTTTGCTCTCATCGAATGATTTGTCAAAATTGATTGTTATTTGCTCACCGAAATACGAAATAAATCCCGAAGAATGGCGCCGACAACGAAAATCAATCTTGCCGATAAAGTGGACGATGGCGAAATGGACCTCAGCATGTGCGATTTGCAAGAAGTACCTGTGAAGGAAATTGTCAGTATACATTATTATAAAATCCTCCTATAGAATAATTTATCTTGCACTTTACTGCTTTAATAGGCTGCCTATCGGAAGGTCTGGAGTTTGGATCTTTCGAACAACCATCTCACACAATTATCTGTAAGAACTCCTCATTTATATGAAATTTCTGCTGCAAATATTTAATTGTTGTCTTCTTCTGATGTAGAAAGCATTCCCTACTTTGACAAATCTCACAAAATTAGACTTGAGTAAGAACAAGTTGAAGAAATTGCCAGATAACTTTGGTGATCTTCATCGTCTAAAGCATTTGGACCTGTACAAGAATGAGTTACAACATTTGCCATTAAGTTTTGGTCAACTGAAGAGTTTAAAATGGCTTGACTTGAAGGACAATCCTCTGGTGCCTGCAATTCAGGAAGCAGCTGGAGATTGTTTAGACACTGCACAATGTCAGGTTTGTGCATCTAATATCATCTACTTTTTCACAAAACTGCGTGAAAAAGTTGATGAAGAAAGAGAAATTAGAGAAAAACAACGACAAAAAGAAAAGGAGCGTCAGAACGAATTGACAGCTCAGAAGTCCAAGTCAAATATTCCAGAAAAGAAGAAGAAAAAGGAACCTAAACTGAGTACATCACAGACTAAAGTGAAATGTGAAGCAACTACAAGTGATGTACAAGTATCCAAAGGTGAACCCCAGGCACAGAAACCAATCAAGCAGAGCAAACGCTCATTTTTCTTCATTTTTATCACGTCATTGCTGCTAATTCTTAGCACTCTATTTGTACTCACTGCATGTGGCTTTGATATGACTATGTTTATCGAAGATGCAGTGGCAACAACATGGTCGAAATCAATTTCGCATTGTCCACAGGCAGTTCAAAATGTCGGCGAAACATTCGCGGATTATTTTCTGTTTGTGCATCGTAAAGTGGGTTATTATTTAGCGAAATCGGAAAACAAGAGCTACCTGAGCATCTTGAATGAGAAAGTCCATGAAATGTACAGTACATTGATACGTTAAATGTATCTGCTCTAAATTTGAAGGTCGAACTATTTTTCTTACTTTCTGTAAATTTGTATCGCTGCATGAATAAATGAAATTCAATGTTTAAATTTGTATTGTTTTCCTAAAGAAGGTTAATATTGTGGAACAATAAAAACTGATTACATCATAATCACGAAGAATTTAACACAAGCCAAAAAAAATTGCACACGATATTGGTCCTATTGTTCTCGAAACAGAGATCAGAGTTGACCGTTTGTCTGACTAGCGTAGAAGGCGCTAAACTCTTGTTCCGTTGGATAAAGCGGCTGTTGTAGGTTCTCTTGTCTGTTCAAGCTGTTGTATGATGATGGACTTCCAGGTGTGGGGTGTCCACTAGGGGGATATACCGGCATGCATCCCAATGTGTTATTACTTTCCTTGGCTGGACAATTTTGATTCTCACGCCACTGAGGAACCTGCTGCTGATGTTGTGACCAACTTGGTGGGTAAACGATGCCGTTGCCTCCTCCACTCATGTTTCGTCCAACACTGTAATTGGAAGGTTGATTGTAACCATTGCCGCCGCCGTCATTGTATCCTCCATATTGAGATGAGGGACGATTGCATACATAGGATTGCGGATACTGATGAGCTTCGTTCGTGCAACCGCGTTGGTATCTGGGATTGAAATCCATTTTGAACAATTATGAATCAATCTTAAGCTATTAAAACTTGCTGGCTCTAAAATGTTCACGGAGAAATGTACAAAAATTTAGATTTGAGTCAAACTAATAGACAAAAAATTTGATATGTCAATTTGAAACTATTCTTCAAACATTCATGGCAATCTAAGTTTTTGCCATAAGTTGTTCTCATGTTTGTCGTAAAGGATGTTACATAGATCGCTTATTTCTTGGGTAAACGTTTATGGCGCAAACAAGTATCCGCGCCTCTATTCAAAAGGGACATAACTGCTTTCGAAATTGCTCGTTAAAGTGAATTTAAAAGCGACAAACGTGCAAATAAATTAAAATACCACATTTTTAGATAAAAAGTTGTTTAAGAACTGAAATTTAAAATTAAATAATAGAAATTCATTAATAAAGTATGTAATTTTAAAACTCGTTCAGTTCAGTTCAGTTTTAGTGTATTTTTAAATGCATACATTTTAAAAAGTTATATTAGTTATTTGGACTGCCTACCTTCAATGCGTGGTGTGAACGTTGTGAACTAAAAATGTTGTTGACGCCAAAGTTATCGCCACACGTAAAAACATCAAAACAAGTTAGTGTTGTGTTCTTGAAGCGAACTTGATCACAAGATAAGACGTGATAAAATCCAGATATACAACAGACACTTTACATTAAAACGTGCGTTAGTTTCGCGTTCGCGTTGGTCGAAGAATGTGTCGAAATCACATTCTACTCATAAGACTCCATATTGTTGTGAATATTAGTGGACCTGAGAAGTGACTTTTAATTACAGTGCATCGTGTCCATCTTTAAATCGTGCCGAATCTCGTCACCAACAATTGCTGGTAAGAATAACTAAAACCTTACATTAAAATTGTTGCGAACCAAGAGCATTCAGGGCATTTAATTGATTAAATCATACTGAAATGTGTAATCGCGTAAACTCGAATCGAAATTAAATGCCCCGGGGTAATTTGCTGTCGAGACCTACCCCAACCGATTGGACCGCAAGCAAACGCGAGTTTTTCAATAACAACGTTGCGGAAGTTGGGAGCGAACGTCGTGCGATTATACGGCTACCTGAGGAAATATAAAACAATGCGACGCAAGCGCTCATTTCCAGCGCGTTCGCGGGCGCACAAGAGCACGCAGGCGGCGAACGAGCCGCCTCGTTCGCCTCGACCGCCGCCACACTCAGTTCCACCTATATTCTACCCCGAAGCGGACGGATACGCATTCGCGCTCCATCCCTCGACCCTACGAGCTCGACGCGTGCGTGTGCAGTCGCGTGCTCCACCACCACCACTCTCTTCCTGCCCCCGGCATTCAGTGAAACTCAACTAAAGTCTCCGGCACGATTTTGCACTGTTTTGTGCGTGTGAATAAATAAATTACACTAATTTAGGAGTACCTAACTTTCTCTGGTAGTTTGTCTAGTTTTTGATGTGTTTGAAACAATACCCAGCAACGTAAACATTCATAAAATGTTTGTGTAATTTTAAATCATACAATACAAACTAAACCTCCGAATTGCTTGGATTATTCACGACGGTGATGTACGACTTACCACCAGAGGGTAAATTGTATTACCGGTAAACATTTGCGCGGCAGCAATTCGTAACGCTAATTCGGAGTTATTGGCGCTTTGCGATCAAATCGTTAATTGGCGATTTGTCTTCGGGGTGTGTGTCGTTGGTGTCTTCGGAGCGCGCTATCGTGATGTAATTTTCGGCTGATATGAGCGCGTAATGTGATTTGCCCAAGTTTGTGGCGGTGAACAAAATGAGAGGTGCTTTAGTGTTGGCTCTCGTTGCATTCATCGCGTTTTGTGGCGGCTTCACAGCGCCTACTTGCATCTGCGACAAACGTGAATGTGAAATTATCAACGAGGTAGACTGTCCAGGTCTTGGAGTCATCGTTTGGGATCCTTGCGAGTAAGTGAAAAGAAAAAAAACGCGGTATTTTTTCTTTTTATTTGATACAAATACGTTTAATTTAACTTTTATGTGAGCAACGGTTACAAGCTAGGCAGGAGCTCTTATTAACTTTTCATAAGTATTAAACTGTTTGAGCATAGTCATATTGATGTGTTGTTGGCCTACGAGTAAGATAAACCCGCCAATCAAACCAGGATCAACTTGTTCCACAGTTTCAGCTGTTTTGCCTGGTAGAAATTTGGTTAAAATCTGCATCAGTTTTTCTTTCTGTGCGGGTTTCATAGGCCTTGCTGATATGATCGCACACTTTACCACACCTCGATGCACCGTGATCATCTCAATGTATGCAGAAATCACAGCTGGCAATAGTTTTAGACGTTTGTTTTCTGTCATTGTTACCAGAAAATTATAACTTATATCGTTTATTCCTAACTGTTTAAATGCTCCTATTGCTTCCATTTTTAAAGACATCTTTGTATTTGGTGCAAGTAGAAATTCACGCAGTTTGGTATCATTTGCAAATGTATCTCGAATCTTGATCAAATCTTGCTCTACTACTTCCAATTTATTTTGTTTACTGGCAGCCGAATATAAGGCTCCCGCGTAGGCGCCCTTCATGCCTCCGAATTGAATTGGTGGTCTCACCAAAGGAGAAACTGGTGCACCACCAGTGGGTCCTCCCATATCTGGTGGAACAGATGATCCTCCAGGAGCAGCCGGTGGTGTTCCTCCTCCGGTTGGTGGGGGAGCCACTGTTCCCGAAGAGCCTCCTCCTCCAGCTGCTGGGGGTACTCCGGTTGTTCCTGATGAATCCGCGGATTTGTTACCCCCGGTAGTGAATTTTGCCAGATTTGGCGCAATAGGTGATCCTCCTGGGGGTATTGGCGGTTTGTCTCCTCCGGATGATCCTGATGAGTCTCCGGGTTTGTCGTCCGCGGCAGCACGTCTGACAATAATGCGTCTAGCGGCCACAGGGCCGACAATATTCCATTGCTGTCTATCTCGATGCCATTCAAAACTGCTTGGTGGCCAGTATCGAGCAATTCCTGCATAAGTTCGTCTAGGATTGAGAGGAGCTCCTCTAGAATATTCACCGCTGTTGCCGTTGTGGAGTATTGGTATGATGGTTCTAGAAAAGTTTCCATTTGACGTTCTGCGCAATGGCACCTGTCTGTTTGAAATGGCGACAATTTTAACTGTCTGTCTGGATGTTGTTCTGCACCCAAACGTTGTTACTGTAGGTAAACACACACTGGAAGTTGTGGGGCACGCCTGATCTGATGGTGAGGTGGATATTTTGAGGAATTTTAATCCGGTGTAGAAATCACCAGTTGTAATTGATCGTGAAAGGAACAGGCTAATTCGCGTAGTGCATGCCATAACTCTTAAACATATTTTGTTACCGTGTTGATGAGAACGAATGAAATTTTTAAAATTACCTATTCTTGTGACAGAACAATCGATTGTTTCCAAGGTTATATAGAGTTGTTTAGTTAGGTATTATATCGTATAATAAACAAACAAAAGCGTTTGCTGCTTTAATCTAGTAGGCAGAATTTCTAACGTAGTAATGTATGTAGTGAGGGTTCTGCATCTTTTTAAATTGCTTGTAAATAAGGCGCTCGATTTGAACAAACATTAAAATATGTAATTTAATTGCCAATATTTTGCTCAGGATATGAACTAACAACACAAGCACGATCAGCCGTACTCGAGTTCTATACTTTAATGAAATATTGCTCTCGTAAATTGTGTACATGTTGGAGGAATATCACCTTTACACTCGATAGTGCACTTTACAGTACACGAAATATTCGATAGATCACCGCTAAAGTCTCCCTAGATGCCTACCATTATTCGCATTATCAGCAATTTCTAACAAACTTCAGAAGTTAATAAATAGCTATATATTCCTCCATATTTAACTAATATAAACATACTTTAAGTACACCAAATGATAAAAACAAAGATATACATTAAAAATCAATAAAATGAATTTATATTTTTAATATTGCATTTTATTGTTTTAGTGGAAAAGTTTTAAGTATTTAATCGTAATTTTAGCGAGGATAATTGAAAAGTTAAACCAACATTTAAACTTTTATTTAGTAAATATTAAAAACAAATACAAATGTTACAGTTCACATCGTGAAAATTCCGGGTAAAAAATACACATGGGTTTTTACACTCTTGTTATACTTATGTTTTTTGATCGACATTTTAAATATTAAAAGTTAATTGAATTTATATGCGGTTGTTAACTTCATGTACTAAACTAGCTTAAAATAGTAACTCTGTGCTATTAGATTTATTAATTGAATTTGCATATAAAAATAATTTGTAATTATTCGTTTCGAGCTTTTTTGCTAATGCAATTGTAATCTGTCCATTTCCAAAATTGCATATGTTCGTAATCACATTTAAAATTACATTATCTATGAATACACGCGTGATGTTTTCAAAATACTATATAGTATACTCCACTATCAAAATGCAGTG